CCTCTACGATGATAAATGGAAAAGTTTTGACCAGTTTGCTACGCAGAAGGGATTCTTAGCTGTTAAGGCCTCGCATCCGCAGGTAGCAGACTGCTTATGCCATTTGAGGGCTTCTATATACCTTAAGGGATCTACTCTCTCGACATACTTGGCAGCAATCTGCTCGGTGATCTTCAAGGAAACTCACCAAAGTACCAGACCTCATCTCTTTATTGAGATCATTCAAGTTGGAAGATCAGCAGCAGAGATTCAGAGCGCCAGCCTGGGATCTCAAACATAGTGCTGCAACATTTGATCAGTGACACTTATGAGCCACGGAGACAGACAACTTTTGAGTTATTAACACAAAAGACGTTATTTCTCCTCACACTGACAACAGCGGCAAGAATGTCAGAAATACATGCTCTTGATTTCGTACGAACTAGGTTTGACACTGGACAACATGCAGCAGTCCATTTAGGACTTAGATGGGATTTTATAGCGAAAAATCAACTACCAGGCCAGCCAGATAGACAGTTTCATGTCCTGGCACTATCTACGATACTGGAACCAGACGATACTCAAGACCTGTCCTTATGTCCAGTCAGAGCGTTGAAAATATACCTGGAAAAAACTACTACAAGGAGGAGACAGTTTAAGTGTCTTTTCATCCCGCTATCACCCGCCATGACTATTGAAGTCTCACGAACTAGGATCTCGTTTTTAACTCACATTTAACTCACATGAAATTAGAGCATTAGCTTCAACACTCGCACTACATGGGAATTGCTCATTATCATCCATAATGGAAGGCTGCTTCTGAAAATTTGACACAGTATTTGCGAATCATTATCTGATGGAGATTGCTACAGAAGACGTATCCAGTATACATCAGTTCAGACATCTTGTAGTAGCTCAACAACTCACGATTCCTGCAAGACAATGAGAAACTTACCCGTACCACGTTGACTTGTAGACAGGCAGAAAAGTCTATGCGACACTGTCTTATGTGATAAGTCAGTACATATGTGATATAAGACTCTTACCTTAACAGATGGGTCGCGATTCCATTATGGAAACGTTCTTACCTTAACATGCAAGTCGTTGCAGATAACTAGACATCATAGATACTAGCTATTAAATAAATTATTGTGGTATATTTATTTAGAAATAGGTGGTCCCCCAATTTCTTTCAAAATTCAACATGACGAAGCCGTGAGAAGAGCTCCCAGGGGGTATATCAACAAACGCTATATTGACTATTCAGTCACAGGTAGTCCTGGTAGGTGGCTGACTCACCATCTGTTTCCGTCGGATTCCTTAAGCATATAGCATGATCCAGGATAAGGAAAACTGTGTAATTTTTATGATAAAATTGATATTTTATACTTATCCTGACTCATGATTTGAAGGGTCCTCCCTACTGTCCCATCTCAGCACTTCGGATCTTCCTGTAGGTTCTAGTGCGGGCTGGAATTCATGAGAGAGTGACAAGAGCATGCCTCTGTACTGGTCACGTGGGACACAGTGGCGGGAAAGGTGAAGGGAGGTAACCCAACTGAGTGAGTGATTTTACGTTTGGTTCAGGGAGCAAAGGGATTCAAGTTTCCACGTACCGTTTGAAGGAAAAGGGAGATAAGCATATAGCATGAGTCAGGATAAGTATAAAATATCAATTTTATCTTTAAAATTACATTTTGCTTACCAGGGTAAGTCCTGCCAGGCCAATATTTTGGTTATTTTACCCATTTTAACTCCCACATGCAGGTCAGCCTCATAACACATTCTGCTCCTGCTATTATGTTATGGATTAAAGAAACAACAGCAACAGCAGATTAGATTTGGGGGGCATCTTTTAGATAATGTTAAAAGTGAAATAACACAGTGAGCATTAATTAGGAAGCACAATGTGTACTTAATGTACCCCATAACATCAATACAAAACTAACACAACTTTGTGCTAAATAGACATGTCTATTTTAATATACTGTAGAGATATATATAACAAATATTTTTGTGTCATAAGCAGCTCATGCAATGGGCTTTTGGTTCAGCATTAACCAAAATGGAAATGAACTTACCACATCCACCAAGTCCATAATCAACACATGATGACCCTGTAGTCCCTCTTTCGAGGTTGTGACAGATTGTCAAGCCGGTCGATACTTCTTTCTTTTAGGTGGTCCCTTCCCACTGTTAAGGTACTGATGAACTACTGTTTCATTGTTAGTCTGTTCCCTTTTGAAGAACACAATGAATTGGAATATGGACGAATGAGCCTTGGACGCTGACTTCTTCAGATGACAGTGCCTGCTTTCCAGGTTGTGAGTCTCAGTGTCATAAGGCTCCATTGTCATGTATGCTGTCTTCCCTCATTCCAGTTACAAGGGACGTAGTTGGCAAGCACAGAGGTTGATTTCTGTTGCATATCCAAGGACCTTATCAGTGCCTGCTTTCCAGGTTGTGAGTCTCAGTGTCGTGAGGCTCCATTGTCATGTATGCTGTCTTCCCTCATTCCAGTTAGAAGGGACGTAGTTGGCAAGCACAGAGGTTGATTTCTGTTGCATATCCAAGGACCTTATCTTGACCACTGTCATTGACAGTAAAGCAATCTGTTCCATCTGCTTCTACTGAATTGTTTAGGAAGCAGTCTTCTTGGCATGGAATATTGGCATGTTTGCAACTGCAGCCTTGCTCTCCTCAGTCCAGTTTCACTCCCTCAAATCAACACATATCCATTTGGTTGATATATTCCCTATGTTATAACACAGTATTCTTATCTACTAATCTCTTCAAAGGATACAAATATGTCGGCCTGGCCACCCTTTCATCACCTTCCTATAGGTGTTGGTCAGGTAGGCATCATGATTCCGTGTACAGGGAGATCAGCATCTGTAGGTTTATATGTCTGATCATGCACAGATTGTATCTATACTAGCCACATAAAGAAACTGTGCATTGTCAAAATATTATCCCAGTTGATAAGTATGATAACAATGTCAAAGGTACATATAAACTTTAATGGAGGGATCATGAGACCATAACAAGTCGGGAGAATTTCAATTGAAAAGTCAATCACAATGATGTCACGAGTCCACAAACGGGACAGGGGTCAAATGACCCTGTCACAAGCTCCAAAATGGGTATGTCCACCATTGGCATTGAGAACAGCAGTGCATTGACGACGCATAGAGCCTATCAAACGTGCAAGGAAGGCTTGTGTGATGTCACGCCAGATTCTCTCAAGTTCTGTTGCAAGGTCAAGGACGTTATCTGGCGGATGAGGAAGACGGTGTAGACGTCGATCTATCTCGTCCTAAACATGCTCTATCGGGGAGAGATCCGGTGAATTTGCAGGCCAAGGCAGTAAGTCAACATTGTGGTGTTGCAAGAAATCCATAGCAACCCTTGACGTATGAGGGCGGGCATTGTGCTGTTGGAATGTTAACCCAGGGCCATGACGTTGCAGAAAAGGAATTGCCACAGGTTGAAGAATCTGATCCCTGTAGCCCACACCAGTTAAGTTGCCCTGAACAATCACCAAAGGAGTTCTTTGCCGTGCTGTTATTCCACCCCAAATCATCACGGAACCACCACCAAAGCGATTCCTCTCCAAGATTCCCACGCGTCTATAGGCACGTTGACGTCCATCACTATGGGAAATGTTAAACCTGGACTCATCTGTAAAAACAACATTTCTCCACCAAAACAAGGGTCTGCTGACATGTTTTCGGCACCACATTCGGCGAGCTTGTCAATGACGTGTCAGCATAGGCCGTATGGCGGGACGTCGTGGTCTGATCCCGTGATGACGTAAACGTTGTCGAACTGTGTTGGGGTGGATACGGCGAAGTCCTGGGATGGTTCGGGCAGTCATCACTGCAGTCTGAAACCTGTGGCGAAGATGGGTCACCCTTATCCATCTGTCCTGTCTTGGCGTTGTTACACGTGGACGTCCAGAACGTGTCCGATCGATGACGTCATTTGTGTTCTGGTAGCGTCTCACCAGTGCAGAAATGGCATTCCGGTAGTAGTGGAAATGTGCAGCCACTTGTCGTTGAGACATTCCCCCACGGACCATCCCAATGGCCTCATGACGTTGTGCAGACGTGAAATGGCATGCTATGCGTTTCAATAGACGTTAATTTTTTGAACGATCGCAAGGGCAGGGGTTGAGCTTTCCAAAGTAATAATAGTCCATTTATATTGCGCGTTTATCCATGCACATTGCATGCTCAAAGCGCTGACATATTACCCCTGGTCAACGAGTACAGAACACTCCATGTGGAGAATACAACCGGTCACCTGTCAGGCGCTCAAGGTTCAAATTCAGACTACCATCGTATCATACCAGGTACCCAATTGTACTGCTGGGTGGACAGAGGCAATTTTGAACAAACTCACTTGCCTAAGGTGAGACCACATGCGTCACATGTGCTTCGTTGTGGGGCAGGACTGAAGTCCTAGAAACTTTCAGGAGTCAAGCTGCCAAACACGGTCACCCATCCGAGGACTGTCCGCGACCAACGTTGCTTAACTTCAACTGATTGTGACCTGAGCTCTACGCACAGGACCACACACCGCCACCAAAGTGACAGTATTGTGTGGCATTCATTTGCTCTGTTTCTCTTTCCCGGAATGCACGTGCAACAACGTATTGCACGTCTCAAGGACGAACCCACTGACATCACGGAACGTGGCACGTGCATGCATGTTGGATACTATGACTAATCTCTGAGTTTAAATCCTTATGTGTCTACACAGGTTTGATAAATTTAGATTTTAAATTTTTGTATGCACAGTTTCTTTATGTGCCTAGTATATTTTCTCTAAATAATTTGATATGTTTACGGATTTTCTTCAAATTAGGTTATGAAATTATGACACAACAAAAGTACCGGTATGCAACTGTAAGAATTGATCAGAACTAATGGAGAAGCGTTAAATGAAATAATGTCAAAGTTATAATTTTAACATTATCAAGTTACACCTCTTGATGTATAGAGTGTGATGTTTTTCAGATGTTTGGACAAAACTGGAGACTCTAAATCTTTCCCGAAATCAACTGACTGCATTGCCAGTAAGTAGTATCTGTTTCCCAACAGTAACGTGTGCTGCAATAGTTTGGTCTTATCTACTCCTTCTTTATCTACTCATGTCATATCTAGGTGCAGATCCCCAGCTTTCCGCGGAGCTATTTGTGTGCTCAGCTTACAAAAGTACAAGCCACCAACCAGTGTTGTCAACTTATCTTCCTGTGCATAATAATCTGTTTTATTCAAACTGTCAGTACTGTATGCATTAATTTAGTATGAACTTACTGGAACGCACCAACACACCATTGTTTACAGAAACAAGGATCAGATTACCCTTTTTCCACTGAAACAAGAATACATTGATGTTTCATTAATGCTATTCTGCTTTTTCGAAATACAGTTATTTGTGAAATATATCTGGTAACAAACCAAAGTGCTATACTTATGGTTATTATCACTTTAAATATTCATTGCAAGAGCTGCATGATATTTCAGGTACACTGCACTCCACTACCTTTGAGTCCATATGTCTCTCATTAGCATTTCCTTATTCTGTATATGACTTCTCAGTATTACGAATTCACATATATCATCGATGTTTGATATCAACTCAAATATAGGTATCGTCTGATATGATATGATATGCCGGAATATTGAAAATATTTGAAGGGAATGTAACTTTTCATCTGCCTGTGGCTGTGTGAAGAACGACAAGAAAAACACAAGGCTGGAAATAAACACAGACATTTCAAACCATAACCAAACTAACTGCACTGCACTACATAAGAAAGGGTTTTACTGTATTTTGACTTCAAGTTTTCGTAATATTGTTTCTTCAGTGTTTGAATATGAAAGTCTATGTGTGTTTTAGACATCTCTTCACAAGCTTGTGTCGCTGCGAAAACTGTATGTGAACAGTAACCAGCTTGACTTTGATGGAATCCCTCCCAATGTTGGGAAACTACACAACCTGGAGATATTCAGTGCAGCTGACAACAACCTGGAGATGATCCCTGAGGGGTTGTGCAGGTATGTACAGATGCCACAACGGAACTCATAGACCCAGGGAGGAGACAGTATCTGGAGATGATCCCTGGGGGGTTGTGCAGGTATGTACAGATGCCACAACGGAACTCATAGACCCAGGGAGGAGACAGTATCTGGAGATGATCCCTGGGGGGTTGTGAAGGTATGTACAGATGCCACAACGGAACTCATAGACCCAGGGAGGAGACAGTATCTGGAGATGATCCCTGGGGGGTTGTGCAGGTATGTACAGATGCCACAACGGAACTCATAGACCTAGGGAGGAGACAGTATCTGGAGATGATCCCTGGGGGTTGTGCAGGTATGTACAGATGCCACAACAGAACTCATAGACCCAGGGAGGAGACAGTATCTGGAGATGATCCCTGGGGGGTTGTGCAGGTATGTACAGATTTCACAACGGAGCTCATAGACCCAGGGAGGAGACAGTATCTGGAGATGATCAGTGGGGGTTTGTGCAGGTATGTACAGATGCCACAACGGAACTCATAGACCTAGGGAGGAGACAGTATCTGGAGATGATCCCTGAGGGGTTGTGCAGGTATGTACAGATGCCACAACGGAACTCATAGACCCAGGGAGGAGACAGTATCTGGAGATGATCCCTGAGGGGTTGTGCAGGTATGTACAGATTTCACAACAGAGCTCATAGACCCAGGGAGGAGACAGTATCTGGAGATGATCAGTGGGGGTTTGTGCAGGTATGTACAGATGCCACAACGGAACTCATAGACCTAGGGAGGAGACAGTATCTGGAGATGATCCCTGAGGGGTTGTGCAGGTATGTACAGATGCCACAACGGAACTCATAGACCCAGGGAGGAGACAGTATCTGGAGATGATCCCTTAGGGGTTGTGCAGGTATGTACAGATTTCACAACAGAGCTCATAGACCCAGGGAGGAGACAGTATCTGGAGATGATCAGTGGGGGTTTGTGCAGGTATGTACAGATGCCACACCGGAACTCATAGACCTAGGAAGGAGACAGTTTCTTGATATGATCCCTGAGGGGTTGTGCAGGGAAGTACATATTTCACAACGGAACTCATAAACAGGGAAGATATAGTACTGGGACAATTTGTTCAATAGGTTTGCCACCATGGGTATTCTGGGATGATTGATATCCGATGACACGGATCTGTGCTTATAATCAGAGATTTTACCAAAATGCCCTTGACATCCAATTTGGGAAAGTCGCCGTGGAGGGGTGTGTTTGGGTGAGAGTGAGTGAATGAGTTTAATTTTATGCCACACTCAGCAATATTTCAGCAGTATGGCAGCTGTCTGAAAATAATCAAGTCTGGACCAGATAATCCAGTGATCAACAGCATGAGCATCGAGCTGCGCATTTGGGAACCGATGACATGTGCCAACCAAGTCAGCAAGTCTGACCACCCGATCCCATTAGTCACCTCTTATGACAAGGTTTGGCTGAGAGGTATTTACTGTTCTTGGGGAACAACACAGAGTGCTTCCCCCATGTCTCGCGTTAAAGGAGACAGAAGCAAATAGTATGAGTCAGGATATGTACAAAATAATATTTTTACTCTGAAGAATACATTTTTTACTGTTTTGCAGATGTGGCAAGTTGAAAAAGTTGATCCTGAACAAGAATCGTCTCATTACACTTCCAGATATCCTACATTTACTTCCTGAACTTGAGGTATGTGCTCGTAATTGCATCCCTACAACATTTTGTACCCGTGAAGGTCCGGGCTAGAATATTGACCCATGCTTGTAGTAAGAGGTGACTATCCAATGATAGTTACTGCTGCTGCCTGTACTTTGTGTTAGAGGGTCTGTGATGATAGTTACTGCTGCTGCCTTTACTTTGTGTTAGTGGGTCTGTGATGATAGTTACTGCTGCTGCCTTTACTTTGTGTTAGTGGGTCTGTGATGATAGTTACTGCTGCTGCCTGTACTTTGTGTTAGTGGGTCTGTGATGATAGTTACTTCTGCTGCCTGTACTTTGTGTTAGTGGGTCTGTGATGATAGTTACTGCTGCTGCCTTTACTTTGTGTTAGTGGGTCTGTGATGATAGTCACTGCTGCTGCCTTTACTTTGTGTTAGTGGGTCTGTGATGATAGTTACTGCTGCTGCCTGTACTTTGTGTTAGTGGGTCTGTGATGATAGTTACTGCTGCTGCCTTTACTTTGTGTTAGTGGGTCTGTGATGATAGTTACTGTTGCTGCCTGTACTTTGTGTTAGTGGGTCTGTGATGATAGTTACTTCTGCTGCCTGTACTTTGTGTTAGTGGGTCTGTCGAATGATTGTCTGCCCATTGGTAATTACTTCTGAGTTGATCTTGTTTGCAGACTTTAGATGTGAGAGAAAATCCTGACCTAGTGATGCCACCCAAGCCAGCAGAACTACGGAAAGCCGCTGAGTATTACAATATTGACTTCTCCCTTAACAACCAGCTTCGCCTGGCTGGGGCGGCACCACAGCCTACGGCAGGAGAACAGTCCACTCGTGAGTCACTAAGTGCTGTTATCAGTAAAGCCATTCTATCTGCAATACTTGACTCTTTACTTCATGTGCTCATTAGTTCAACTGGTCATTTGTGAATACAGGTCAGGTTTCAGGGTGAGGTGAACTGATCACTATTGATGAGGTCAAAGATGAGTATTTTTAAACTTATCCTATCTCACGGTATGCACCATCTGTCTCTTCTACGACCATGTGTGGAAACGTGCTGTCAGCTAAGTCAAATCTAACTGGCCTCTGACCCGCCCTGACCTCTGCCCTCACCCCAACATCAACGCCTGTCAATCATCCACCAAAGTGTGCGGCTCGCCCAAATGATCACATGACCACCTCTACCTGTCATTCTCTTTCTTGTCGCCACGTTGTGTGGACGTGTGTTTGTCTATAAGAGAGTTTGATTGTGTTTCTACAATGGGAAAATCGAATAGTTATGGTTCTAATAAACGCAAACATTGCGATAACTGCAACAGTAATTTCTCGGCGGCAGACCCACAATACCTATGTGTTGACTGTTTAGGCCGGTGTGAATGGTCTAGATGTTGCACTTTGTGTGCAAACCGTGACGACGATGCGTTTTCCGAATATCGCTGGGTATCTTGTAGACGCAAGTTTGACAGAGATTGTCGGAGTCCATCTGAGGGTCTGAGTAGTAAACGTCCTAAGTTAGATCGCCGTTTGATATCTGCAGTACGACGTTCGAAGTCGAAGTCTCCTAATGAAGATTTCTTAGAGAGGCGTCTGATTCCTACCTCAGTGGAAATCTGCGTCAACTCTTCCGTCCGCATTCTTATAGCCTCATTACTCTAGAAGATTCTTCACCACCACGAATTGTTGTGTTATCTACGTCTGGTATTCATCCCGGCCGTCTTTGGTGGTGAATGTTTCTTCAGCGCCTTTACGTTTTGGAGGTGGGGACTACTCATGCGGCGCTTATTGTGATTCCTAACATTACATCACAAGTGACTTTCATTTCCAGTTCGACGCTTACATCAGGAGTTACCTACGTTTAGAGCGCCGCTTGTCACTGATTCCACGTGTTTGCTCAGTGTTTGTACCAGTGTGCCGCATACTTTTGAAGTGCCGCTTACTTTTGAAGCGTCGCTTACATCAGGACAGTTATCTACGATTAGAGCGCCGCTTGTCACGGATCCCATGTGTTTGGTCAGAGCGCCACTTACTTCCAGTTCAACGCTGTTCTACCAGTGCGCCGCTTACTTTTGAAGCGATGCTTACATCAGGACAGTTATCTACAATTAGAGTGCCGATTGTCACGGATCCCATATGTTTGGTCAGAGTGCCGCTTACTTACAGTTCGGCGCTCTTGTTTGGTTCCGGTTCGAGGCTTGTGCCTGGTTCGGCGCTTCCTCCCAGTGTTCCTTGTTCGGCGCTTCCTCTCGGTTCCGCGCTTCCGCTTCGCTTCCTCCCGGTTCCGCGCTTCTCCCAGTGTTCCTGGTTCGGCGCTTGCTCCCGGTTCCGCTCTTACTCCCAGTTCAGCGCTTCCTCCCAGTGTTCCTGGTTTGGCGCTTCCTCCCGGTTCCTCGCTTCCTCCCGGTTCAGCGCTTCTACCAGTGTTCCTGGTTCGGCGCTTGCTCCCGGTTCCGCTCTTACTCCCGGTTCGGCACTTCCTCCCGGTCGAGCGCTTCCTCCCGGTTCCGCGCTTCCTCGCTTCCTCCCGGTTCCGCGCTTCTCCCAGTGTTCCTGGTTCAGCCCTTGCTCCCGGTTCCGCGCTTACTCCCAGTGTTCCTGGTTCGGCGCTTCTCCCAGTGTTCCTGGTTCGGCGCTTCTCCCAGTGTTCCTGGTTTGGCGCTTCTCCCAGTGTTCCTGGTTCGGCGCTTCTCCCAGTGTTCCTGGTTCGGCGCTTCTCCCTGTGTTCCTGGTTTGGCGCTTCTCCTAGTGTTCCTGGTTCGGCGCTTCCTCCCGGTGTTACTGGCTTGGCGCTTCCTCCTGGCGCTCCCAGTTCAGCGTTTCCTCCTGGACTCCCGGTTCGGCGCTTACTCATATTGACTTTGGTTCGGCGCTTGCTCCCGGTGTTCCCGGTTCGGCGCTTCATCACGGTGCTTTTAGTTCAGGGCTCACTCACAGTCTTCCTGGTTCAGCGCCTACCTACAGTATTACCAGTTCAACACTTACTCCTGGGGTTCCTGGTTCGACGCTTACTCATGGTGCTCCAGGTTCAGCGCTTACTCATGGTGTTCCCGGTTTGGTGCTGCCTCATAGTTCACTGGCTTCTGTATTGACTCATGGTACAACGCTTCCTCAGGTTTCAGCGCTTACTGCCAGGTGTCGACTTCGGCGCTAGGTCCACTCAGTTCAGCTCTGGAGTTCAATGCACGGGATCCTATGTCTAGGCTTTCTGTTTAGTTCCCAACAACGTGATATTATCATCCACTGGAAGGGGGACTTAATCTTCCTCAAGTTACCAAAAGCCTTATCCAGAGACGCTGCCAATTGAGTGATACATGGTCGAGGTGGGAACGTGATGGAACCAAAAGTACCTGGCTTCATATCAAAATCGATAATAAATCCCCCGACGAAGTACTACACTGTATACGGAGGTTATCGGCAATCCTGACGAGTAGTTAAGGTGTGTCAACAACATCCATGCTACCATCCGATTGGGACGTACCATCCGAAGATAGAGACGACGTGGTTGAACGATGAACCTCCTCTAAAAGTAGAACTGGAGAAGTGATGAGTCTCGATGACTGATTAGGAGGATCCTGGCGCCTCATGCCATACGCTGACGCTACTGCTAACACAAGGCATCAAAGTCAACAGGCTGACAAGTCGCCCCATCAGACACCAGATTCCAGGATACCGGTAAAATAGGTCTCGACATTGATACTGTTGAATATAGGACAGATGAACCGGAGTAGACCTTAAGAAATGACAAGGCACCTCATGCACAGAACGAACACCCAGCCAACTGAGACAAGCCCCCTTGAGGCAACGATGAATTCGCCGTTCCAGGATCGTCAGCGTTTGCATTTAGATGGTGCCATAAGGAGAATTATGGCTCAACTCAACATGGTGTTGACAACTACCCGGAGCGGTGGCGAATGTCAGGTGCACTCACTGTGTCCCATCAGCAAGTGTACATTCGAGCGGTTATGGTTCTATTGCAAGAACAATTTCAAACCATTTGGTATGGTTCGGTGATCAGGATCGGTTCTGCGCTCTAAGTTGGTTCGACGATCTGGATCGGATAGATGATCCGGTTCGGCTGTGTGATCTAAAGCGCTGAGTCAATCGAGACCAATGTACTCGTCTATATAGTTGTCCATACAATAATGGTGTACTCGACTAATGTGTTCCAATCAAACAACAATTCAATAGGTTGAATCGCCAATGACAGGAGCTCCTGGGCCTTTTTGACGTCTGTTCAGGCATTGACCCTCAGGGGTCAACTACAACTTCGTCCCTTACACCTTTTTTGTGGCAACTTACATCACAGTGGGAGATCCCGGTGCTCTGATCCCTCTACCTCTGGAGCTCCATCCTCATCTTCAGTAGTGGATGGAAGAATTGAACGTTTGCTACTGAGTCTGTTTAGAGCCGTTTGTTCCGTCTCACCACCTGTATGTGGATGTGTCTCCACAGCTTCTACAGTGGACTCGACAGTTCTTGGATCTGGTGGACTTTCTCAACATCATGGTACGAGCCAACCACTTTCTGGGGATGCCCTGTCCCGACTGAGGCGTCCTTCTTTAACAGAATGGAAATTACATCCTCATGTGTTTCAGACCTTCTGCCTTCCAATGACTTCTTCGACAGTAGACCTCTTCGCCACGAGGTTCAACCATCAGCTGCTTTGGTTTGTGTCACCGATATCGGACCTTTTGGCTTGGGACCTCGATGCTCTAGCCATCCTGTGGGAAGACCTGAATGCTTACGCGTTTCTGCCAGTGGCTCTTCTTCCTTGCATTCTTGGAAACTGTGCGCAACACGGAGGTTGACTCGCCCTACTGACCGGCCAGAAGTTGGTTCGTAAATCTTCAAGACCTAGCCGAACCAGATCCCGTACCGCTTCCCGATCGACCCGATCTACTGGTTCATCCGCACTCCCATCAACTACATTGGTCCCTGTTGACACTCCATCTGCACATTTGGCGCATCTACGTCAATCCTTAACGCCTCCTTGGGTTATGCGTTTTTCCCCGGTGGTAGTAGTAACGTGTAATCTGCGACCCATCTACCAACCGTGGGATTATGCATACCGTGAGATAGGATAAGTTTAATAATTTGAAAATTTTATAATAAATTGTATATTTATATATCCTTGTGTCATGTAAGTTCGATCACTTAAGAACTGTCGCTGAATTTTAAAAGTTATATTCATATAATCTTATTTTCAAATCTCTTACCTCTAAACTTGTTTATTTATGTCAAACATTTCCAAAATCCAGGTATTTTTACTGCTTTTCACAATCGCGGCATGGCCGCCATCTCACTGTCAACACAAGTGACCCAGAAAGCTACGTCACATAAGTTCGATCATATGATTGGCTGAAACAGGATGACTTGTGTGGGCATCTCTGTGATTGAGCTGGCAGTCCCAAGTAATTTTATGATATTAAAAACGTTCATTTTATGTTTCAATACATCTAAAAACGATGAAAAGTCACAAATATTCAGCTTATATAGAAGTATTATGCAGGAAATTATTCTTCAGGCTCATCATGATGGGCATCAAACCACAGAATGTCGACAAACACCACGAACTGGCTTGCAGAATCGTAAATGTGTTCTGTGCTGACATGTAGGGTGGGTACATTGTGCCCAGCTTTTATTTATCAATGAAGCAATAGCCCGAACATCATCAGGTACAAATTGACGGAAATTCTCAAAAAGCATTAAGTTTTCTATAAGAAATGGCCCTTACTTGTTTCCAAAGTTTTAAATTTTGACAAGGATATCAAGTGTCTGGACATGTCACAATTAGACCAGCAACGTAAACAAACAGAAGACAGGTGTGCTGTCAATTTACAACGTGTGAAATAAATACTGTTTACATTTTATTGGAGCTGATTTTATTGGAGTTACATTATTGATCTAGGGTTAAAAAGTAGTTGTTTGCTGAATATGAGCTATAACTTACGTTTGGTAACTTGACACGAAACATTCTCGGTCCAAACGAATAAAAATGGTGTCACCAGAAGATCAAAGCTGCAGATATGGTAAGTTATCGCTACGTATTGCGACAATTACTATTCAAAATGGGCGATTGAAGTTACATGACGATCAAACTTATGTGACTTGACGATACTTATCCTATCTCGCGCGATAGGACCCACCCGACCTGCCCCACATCACAGACGAGAATGACAGGTAGAGGTGGTCATGTGATCATTTGGGCGAGCCGCACGCTTTGGTGGATGATTGACAGGCGTTGATGTCAGGGTGAGGGCAGAGGTCAGGGCGGGTCAGAGGCCAGTTAAATTTGACTCAACTTAGCTAACAGCACGTTTCCACACATGGTCTTAGAAGAGAGAGATGGTGCATACCGTGAGATTGGATAAGTATATAAATATACAATTGATTGTAAAATTTTCAATTTTTAATTTTAACAGTTATTCATAAAAGATAAGTCTTTACTTTCTCCTATTCCATATGACATCAGTTAGCATTATAAATGGGAAGGCGATGCTGCAAGCTGGTTGAAGATGCAATGGTGTGTGTTGTTATTTGTTGCAGCACACAAGGACCCAATAGCTAGGAAACTCAGGTTGCGTCGCCGTCGAGATGGTCAAGAGAGTGAGAAGGTGTTGAAGGTGAGTAGTTGGTAGTAGTAAGGTGATGGAGGACAGTGACGTGTTGGAAGAGAGTTAGGTGATGGAAGAGAGTGAGGTGATGACATTGTGGGGTTATGGAGGAGAGTGAGATGATGACATTGTGGGGTTATGGAAGAGAGTGAGGCTGATGACAGGTAGGTGATGGAGGAGAGTGAGGTGATGACAGTGGGGTTATGGAGGAGAGTGAGGTGATGACAGTGAGGCTGACAGAGGGGTTATGGAGGAGAATGAGGCTGACAGTGAGGTTATGGAGGAGAGGGGTTGATGACAGTATGGAGGAGAATGAGGGAGAGTGACAGTGGGGTTATGGAGAGAATGAGATGGTTGATGACAGGCTGACAGTGGGGTTATGGAGGAGAGTGAGGTGATGACAGTGGGGCTGACAGTGGGGTTATGGAGGAGAAGTAGGACAGTGGAGGCTGACAGACAGTGGGGTTATGGAGGAAAATGAAGGTGTTGAAGGTGAGGCTGGATGGAGGAGAGAAGTGATGAGGTGACAGTGGGGAGAGGTGGAGACAGAGGGAGGAGAGTGAGTGATGACAGTGGGGTTATGGAGTGAGTGAGGTAAATGACAATGAGGCTGACAGTAGGGTTATGGAGGAAAGTGAGGTGATGACAGTGGGGTTATGGAGGAGAGTGAGGCTGATGACAGTGGGGTTATGGAGGAGAGTGAGGCTGATGACAGTGGGGTTATGGAGGAGAGTAAGGTGATGAGATTGGGGTTATGGAGGAGAGGGAGGTGATGACAGTGGGGTTATGGAGGAGAGGGAGGCTGATGTAAGTGGGGTTATGGAGGAGAGTGAGGTAATGACAATGAGGCTGACTACAGTGGGGTGATTGAGGAGAGTGAGGCTGATGACAGTGTAATAGGGAGAATGAGGTGATGACAGTGGGGTTATGGAGGAGTGAGAGGTGATGACAGTGGGGTTATGGAGGAGAGTGGGGACAGTTTATGGAAGAGAGTGAGGCTGATGAAAGGGGTTATGGAGGAGAGTGAGGTAATGACAATGGGCTGATGACAGTGGGGTGATTGAGGAGAGTGAGGTGATGACAGTGGGGTTATGGAGGAGAGTGAGGTGATGACAGTGGGGTTATGGAGGTGAGAGTGAGGTGATGGACAGAGTGAGGCTGATGACAGTGGAGTTAGGTGAGGTGATGACAGTGGGGTTATGGAGGAGAGTGAGGTGATGACAGTGGGGTTATGGAGGAGAGTGAGGCTGATGACAGTGGGGTTATGGAGGAGAGTAAGGTGATGACAGTGGGGTTATGGAGGAGAGTGAGGCTGATGACAGTGGGGTTATGGGGGAGAGTAAGGTGATGACAGTGGGGTTATGGAGCAGAGTGAGGTAATGACAGTGGGGTTATGGTGCAGAGTGAGGTGATGACAGTGGGGTTATGGAGGAGAGTGAGGTGTTGAAGGTGTGGCTGACAGTGGGGCTATGGAGGAGAGTGAGGTGAGGCTGACAGTGGGGTTATGGAGGAGAGTGAGGTGAGGCTGATGACAGTGGGGTTATGGATGAGGGTGAGGTGATGACAGTGAGGCTGACAAGGGGGTTATGGAGGAGAGTAAGGTGATGACAGTGGGGTTATAGAGGAGAGTGAGATGTTGAATGTGAGGCTGACAGTGGGGTTATGGAGGAGAGTGAGGTGAGGCTGACAGTGGGGTTTTGGAGGAGAGTGAGGTGAGGCTGATGACAGTGGGGTTATGGATGAGAGTGAGGTGATGACAGTGAGGCTGACAGTGGGGTTATGGAGGAGAGTGAGGCTGATGAAAGTGGGGTTATGGAGGAGAGTGAGGTAATGACAATGAGGCTGATGACAGTGGGGTGATTGAGGAGAGTGAGGCTGATGACAGTGGGGTCATAGAGGAGAGTGAGGTGATGACAGTGGGGTTATGGAGGAGAGTGAGGTGATGACAGTGGGGTTATGGAGGAGAGTGAGGCTGATGACAGTGGGGTTATGGGGGAGAGTGAGGTGATGACAGTGGGGTTATGGAGGAGAGTGAGGTGATGACAGTGGGGTTATGGAGGATAATGAGGCTGATGACAGTGGGGTTATGGAGGAGAGTAAGGTGATGACAGTGGGGTTATGGAGGAGAGTGAGGCTGATGACAGTGGGGTTATGGGGGAGAGTGAGGTGTTGAAGGTGTGGCTGACAGTGGGGTTATGGAGGAGAGTGAGGTGAGGCTGACAGTGGGGTTTTGGAGGAGAGTGAGGTGAGGCTGATGACAGTGGGGTTATGGATGAGAGTGAGGGGATGACAGTGAGGCTGACAGTGGGGTTATAGAGGAGAGTGAGGTGTTGACAGTGAGGCTGACAGTGGGGTTATGGAGGAGAGTGAGGTGTTGACAGTGAGGCTGACAGTTGGGTTATGGAGGAGAGTGAGGTGTTGACAGTGGGGCTGACAGTGGGGTTATGGAGGAGAATGAGGTGTTGACAGTGAGGCTGACAGTGGGGTTATGGAGGAGAGTGAGGTGTTGACAGTGAGGCTGACAGTGGGGTTATGGAGGAGAGTGAGGTGTTGACAGTGGGGCTGACAGTGTGGTTATGGAGGAGAGAGGTGATGACAGCGAGGTGACAGTGGGGTTATGGAGGAAAGTGAGGTGTTGAAGGTGAGGCTGATGACAGTAGGGTTATGGAGGAGAGTGAGGTGTTGAAGGTGAGGCTGACAGTAGGGTTATGGAGGAGAGTGAGGAGTTGAAGGTGAAGCTGATGACAGTGGGGTTATGGAGGAGAGTGAGGTGTTGAAGGTGAGGCTGATGACAGTGGGGTTATGGAGGAGATCGAGGTGTTGACAGTGAGGCTGACAGTGGGGTTATGGAGGTGAGTGAGGTGTTGAAGGTGAGGCTGATGACAGTGGGGTTATGGAGGAGAGTGAGGTGTTGAAGGTGAGGCTGACAGTAGGGTTATGGAGGAGAGTGAGGTGTTGAAGATGAGGCTGATGAAGGAAGAAGAACTGGGGTGATAAGGGGAGACTGGAAGGACACTTTGGAAATGTATTAGTTGAGTTGTATTTCCTGATATAGGAAATAAATGCTGTTGTAGTGTAATGACATGACAATGATCAAGCAGCTGTTGTATAAATTACTTTGAGTGGTGTTGAATGAGTTCATTAATTGCAGGGAATGAGGGAGGTTGCCAAGGAGAAAGCAGCCCATGAAAATTCTAAGGATGAAGTGGAGAGGGAACCTGCCAAGTAAGATACAGCTAAAATGTGTAACATACTTTGACCTTCTTAGCAGACTCATTCGCTGAAAAACCAATCCATTGATATCCTTATAGAATTGTCAAGAAATGTGTTTAAGCGTATCAGAAACAGACATCGTTTTTGTATTTCAGATATTTGATGAAGGTGCAGGCCTTGCACATTGTTTACCTTGCTGAGATTTGTTTATTGTTTCAACTCAATCAAAATATGCTGATGCATTTGGTGGTTGTTTAATAATTATGGAGCCAAATGTCAAGCAGTCTACATGTGACCCAACTATCAAGGTGTTTCACAAACGTGTCTGTGTGTTTAGGTTCAGATCTTCAGCCTTGCACATTGTTTACCTTGCTGAGATTTGTTTATTGTTTCAACTCAGTCAAAATATGCTGATGCATTTGGTGGTTCTTTAATAATTATGGAGCCAAATTTCAAGCAGGCTACATGTGACCCAGCTATCAAGGTGTTTCACAAACGTGTCTGTGTGTTTAGGTTCAGATCTTCAGTGTTAGCTTTTTATGTGGCATTGCAGGTGTTACATATATGGTCCTGATGGGTATGTATTGATATTGTTGTCCGCGTTGTCATGTTATATGTTTGATATTGTTGGACACTCCTAATATTGTGGTGAAGCAGATACAGAAAGTTCTTGTTCTCTAACATTGGAAAAAGTTTCACAGTTTGGCATTCTGAATACAGCACTTTAACACCAATGGCTTTCACCGAATTGTTGCAAATCTGTTATCAGAGGCTCCTGTTTCAGATGTGTTAATGAGGAACTCGTGTAGCAGATGTGTTATGAGAATTTCTTGTAGCAGATGTGTTATGAGGAACTCTTGTAGCAGATGTGTTATGAGGAACTCTTGTAGCAGATGTGTTATGAGGAACTCTTGTAGCAGATGAGTTATGAGGAGCTCTTTTAGCAGATGTGTTATGAGGAGCTCTTTTAGCAGATGTGTTATGAGAATTTCTTGTAGCAGATGTGTTATGAGAAGCTCTTTTAGCAAATGTGTTATGAGGAGCTCTTTTAGCAGATGTGTTATGAGAATTTCTTGTAGCAGATGTGTTATGAGAAGCTCTTTTAGCAGATTTGTTATAAGGAACTTTTGTAGCAGATGTGTTACGAAAAAATTCTTGTAGCAGATGTGTTATGAGAAACTCTTGTAGCAGATGTGTTATGAGAAGCTCTTGTAGCAGATGTGTTATGAGAAGCTCTTGTAGCAGATGTGTTATGAGAATTTCTTGTAGCAGATGTGTTATGAGAAGCTCTTTTAGCAGATGTGTTATGAGAAGCTCTTGTAGCAGATGTGTTATGAGAAACTCTTGTAGCAGATGTGTTATGAGAATTTCTTGTAGCAGATGTGTTATGAGAAGCTCATTTAGCAGATGTGTTATGAGAAGCTCTTGTAGCAGATGTGTTATGAGAAGCTCTTGTAGCAGATGTGTTATGAGAATTTCTTGTAGCAGATGTGTTATGAGAAGCTCTTTTAGCAGATGTGTTATGAGAAACTCTTGTAGCAGATGTGTTATGAGAAACTCTTGTAGCAGATGTGTTATGTGGATCGTTTGTAGCAGATGTGTTATGAGAACAGGTATTGCCAGTGTGTGTTTTGAGGAACAGGTAATGCCAGTGTATGTTACGAGGAACAAGTATTGCCAGTTTGTGTTTTGAGGAACAGGTAATGCCAGTGTATGTTACGAGGAACAAGTATTGCCAGTGTGTGTTTTGAGGAACAGATATTGCCAGTGTGTGTTATGAGGAACAGGTAATGCCAGTGTGTCTTATGAGGAACAGATAATGCCAGTGTGTCTTATGAGGAACAGGTATTGCAGGTGTATTGGTTTGAAGTACAAATGTTGCTGTTTGATGTTCTGGGGAACAAGCACAGCAGGTGTGTGACACCTGACAGTCACAGCACACATTAAATCAGTTGAAAATATTCAAGACAGGGATGTAGCGATTGTGTGCAGTCTTTCTATACTGTAACTTAACAAGCTTATATGTAGGAGCCAGCTAATGCTTCATTGGTCAAGTGTCAGTGATTCTGTAAATCAGGATGTATGGTTCTGGATGAAAGCTATTTTATGCCTTGTATGAAATGTGTGTATGGTTTACGTGTGTTAGATGCATGATGTCTGCCTACATCAGACTTAAATGAGTGTTATCAATGTTATATATTATTGATGTGTGGAGTGGCTGAACTGCACTTGGCATAAGCTTCACAAGACCTTGTTATACAGTTCCTGCACCCTGCAACAAATTAACACTGTAAGGAGTTTGTGGACTGTAGCTATTGATTAGTATTATATCTGTGGTTGTCATAAACCAATGTATACTTGGTTTAGTTAAACATCATATGTTCAACTCTGATTACCTGTTTCAACAGACAGGTTTATAAGATTGTTCCAATGACTTCACAGATATCACCCTCCTAAGGGTGCCATCACTTGTGTTGATATAGACCTACCTTGAACCATGGACTGCCTCCATAAGCACTGTGCCAAAAAAAAGTTCATGGAACCTAAAATATGCACTGCACTGTCCCTTAGCAATTTAAATAACTTAGTCCACTAACATATCTGTGTAATCAATGATATCCTTGCTTAAGTAGCTACATGTAATGTGTTCACATTATTATCATGTTTGTTCACTCTGCCGACACTTTGGGCAGAAATGGAGACATTCCTTCACACACTGTATGGCTGTCTACAGCATGCTCACCCACAAGTTTAAGATGACATTGTTTAGTATCAATTTTTCCTTATCCAAACTCATATTATTTATCTCCCTTAACCCGACACAGTGGAAACATTATAACTTGTTGACTGGTCTCAATGGGGACATGAGCTGATGTACCCTCGATGTTTGTTTATGTTCCCTGAGCCTGAAGGGTGAGGGGAACATAAATAAACATCCAGGGTACATCAACCCATGGGCCCCGGGGGACCAGCGAATAACGTATTTATCTTAACGAACACCTCAGTGGTAATTTTGAACTGTTTGAAGCTCGGGTATCCGATCATAGTATAGAGGCAAGATAATGTGTTATGTTCCCTAAGAACAGTAAAAACATCTCATACTAACACACCCCACCACCACACATGTGCACCAACCTCCTCATGACAAGCCAGTGTTTAGTCCAATGGGATGGTTGGGGGGAAAATTCTGTTCTCTAATCCAAGCCCTCCTCTCAAAATTACAAATGGATTATCTCTTTAGGCCCTATCATATGTATCAATTAGCGTTTCAACTGGCAGTTCAGTATTGTCTGATGAAAGTCTTGATTGCAATGAGATTCAACAAACAGATAGCATCCTTTCTAGCTGTAGTTCCTTTGGTGTTCATTCTCTCCACCAGTGCTCATTCTGAGAGTCTTACAGAAGACTGCTGAGATTGAATAAGGAACCTGAATCTGATTCTCTTAGCACCTTACTGGCCATTGAGAACTTGATTTCAAGTGTGATAGTGGCATCAGGAAAACCAAGTCTAAAGCTACCTCATTCAAAACAACATTATTCATGACCAAAGCTCTTCAAACTTCATATCAATAGGGTAGTGGGGATATTCAGCTAGTAGAAGTCTCTATGATGGTAGGAGTGGTGGGGATATTCAGCTAGTAGAAGTCTCTATGATGGTAGGAGTGGTGGGGATATTCAGCTAGTAGAAGTCTCTATGATGATAGGAGGGGTGGGGATATTCAGCTAGTAGAAGTCTATGATGATGGGAGTGGTGGGGATATTCAGCTAGTAGAAGTCTCTATGATGGTAGGAGTGGTGGGGATATTCAGCTAGTAGAAGTCTCTATGATGATGGGAGTGGTGGGGATATTCAGCTAGTAGAAATCTCTATGATGGTAGGAGTGGTGGGTATATTCAGCTAGTAGAAGTCTCTATGATGATGGGAGTGATGGGAATATTCAGCTAGTAGAAGTCTCTATGATGATAGGAGTGGTGGGGATATTCAGCTAGTAGAAGTCTCTATGATGGTAGGAGTGGTTGGGTAGCCTAGTGGTTAAAGTCGCGGTGACTCACTTTGTCATAGCTTTCGGCCGTGGGAGCCATGCCAATTTACACCTGTCAGAGAGGTACACAATACCTGCAGTCTAGACTACCAGTTGTCTGACTTCCATTTTAGTGGAACTCGTGGTGGCTGAGTGGGTTAGGCAGCTGACTCTGTGTGCTGGCGATTAGGTGCCTGCCTCTGAGGGTGTGGGTTCAAAGCCCAGATGAGTCTCAACCCCAAAAAAGTACTAGAATCTGTACTTTACTTAGAAAGTGTAATCCCAAATATAACATATGTTACTAGTGGCTAAAGCGTTTGCTCGTCATGCTGAAGATCTGGGTTCGATTCCCCATGGGTCAATGTGTGAAACCAATTTCTGGTGTGCCCTGCCGTGATATTGCTAGAATATTGCTAAAAGCGTCGCAAAACTAAACTCACTCACTCTTCTATGGTGATAAATGGAAGAATTTTGACCAGTGTACAAGATTGAAGGGGCTCACAACAACAAAGGCTCCTCATCCTCAGGTTACAGAATATTTATGTCATCTGAGAAGTACAATTTTACTCTGACAAATACATTTGAATGCTGATTAGAATCTGTTTTAGGACACTGAAATGTACAGCAGTGTTCTCCTGCTTACCGTATACTTACATCCATGTTCTGTTGAAGACCCAAGAGATGGGATGAACACCTCACTAGGCCTCAACTGGACTACAGGGAAATATTCGATGAAGCTGTTGGACAAATCCCAGGTGATAATAATATTTGAGCAGTTTATGTGTAAATATGTTCAGCATATCAAGACTGATGGTCCAGGTGAGTCTGTATCTTTTAGAAACTGTAATTCCCAATTCGTTCATGTCATTCTTTAAATAATAAATAGAATGTTTGGCAATTCTTTAGCAGTGAATAATCTTGAGTTGTCTTTTACAGGCTTAACAAGCTGGGAGATAGAAAACTTTCTGCCAAATATTGTGGAGGAAGGTAGGTAACATCACTGACAAAAGAGATGGGAGAGGTAGCATCACTGGTTAGGGAGATGGGAAGATTCTGGATGGGGTAGGTGGGAAGATTCTGGATGGGGTAGGTAACATCACTGGCTGGGGAGATGGGAAGATTCTGGATGGGGTAGGTGGGAAGATTCTGGATAGGGTAGGTGGGAAGATTCTGGATGGGGTAGGTGGGAAGATTCTGGATGGGGTAGGTGGGAAGATTCTGGATGGGGTAGGTAACATCACTGGCTGGGGAGATGGGAAGATTCTGGATGGGGTAGGTAACATCACTGGCTAGAGAGATCAGAAGAGTCTGGATGGGGTAGGTAACATCACTGGCTGGGGAGATGGGAAGATTCTGTATGGGGTAGGTAACATCACTGGCTAAAGAGATCAGAAGAGTCTGGATGGGGTAGGTAACAACACTGACTGGGGAGATGGGAAGATTCTGGATGGGGTAGGTAACATCACTGACTAGGGAGATGAGAAGATTCTGGATGGGGTAGGTGGGAAGATTCTGGATGGGGTAGGTGGGAAGATTCTGGATGAGGTAGGGGGTAGGTGGGAAGATTCTGGATGGGGTAGGTGGGAAGATTCTGGATGGGGTAGGTAACATCACTGGCTGGGGAGATGGGAAGATTCTGTATGGGGTAGGTAACATCACTGACTGGGGAGATGGGAAGATTCTGGATGGGGTAGGTGGGAAGATTCTGGATGGAGTAGGTGGGAAGATTCTGGATGGGGTAGGTAACATCACTGACTGGTGAGATGGGAAGAGTCTGGATGGGTAGGTAACATCACTGACTGGGGAGATGGGAAGATTCTGGATGGGGTAGGTGGGAAGATTCTGGATGGGGTAGGTAACATCACTGGCTAGAGAGATCAGAAGAGTCTGGATGGGGTAGGTAACATCACTGGCTGGGGAGATGGGAAGATTCTGGATGGGGTAAGTGGGAAGATTCTGGATGGGGTAGGTAACATCACTGGCTAGAGAGATCAGAAGAGTCTGGATGGGGTAGATAACATCACTGACTGGGGAGATGGGAAGATTCTGGATGGGGTAAGTGGGAAGATTCTGGATGGGGTAGGTAACATCATTGGCTAGAGAGATCAGAAGAGTCTGGATGGGGTAGGTAACATCACTGGCTAGAGAGATCAGAAGAGTCTGGATGGGGTAGATAACATCACTGACTGGGGAGATGGGAAGATTCTGGATGGGGTAGCAGTGTTGTTCCTACGTTTGGTAAAATATGGGCCCAAGGGGCCCCTGCATGTATGATTTTAAGGGACACCAGAAAATTTAGAGGGTCCTGAAAATGTGAAAATAGAGCAGAAAACATAATAAATTCACTGCCATTTAATGTTTGAATCAATCATGAACTTTGATGGGTTGAACATGCTCAAAATTCACAAGAAATAAACCCATGAATATTGATTTACCCATTCGGCCTGGTAAGATCTGACTTTGGGTTTCCGCTTCGTGTCAGCGTCCAAGTCAGTTTTTGTGCGGTAATTGTGCACTGGTGGTAATGTTTATTCATTTAAAGGACTGTTTGTCTCATGAGTTCCATTTTGATTCCTCCCTTTTCTAAAAAAACACGTTAGTCGCCTCTGCCGCTTGGGCGGCCTGCTTTCAGCCATGCTTGACGACCATGTGTACGTTAAATATGTAACAAGTTATTTCATTGGCTGATAAACTGCAAATCTGACGTATGGATATACAACGACGAATCTGATAGGTCAAGAGTTAATGCATTCAAAATGGCGGCGTAAACATCGTGTTGTTGGTTTGTCGAGTATTGCAGGCAAAAAATAACTTTAATCTCGGCATATTAATAAAATGTCAACTTTATGTGAAGGTAGGTTTCTTTAGAAATAGGACGGTTAAGACTTCAGCCGGTATTCCCCCTAATTTTTTACCGACGAGAAACATTTCTTTGCGTGGCATTTTTAGAAGTTGAAAATGTGTTTCAGTATGTTCAGATACAGTTGAAAACATGTTAAAACTCATCCTTATCAGGTGAGGAATATATGTTAGATTCTGGTGATATGATTTGAATGAAGTCTTTCCATAGGACGCGCCGATGAGGACGCGCTGTGAGAAATTTTATGCGACATGTGAAAAATTATTGCGTGATTCCCGCAAGCCCGCGCTAGCTCACGGCACAACACTGGGGTAGGTAACATCACTGGCTGGGGAGATGGGAAGAGTCTGGATGGGGTAGGTAACATCACTGACTGGGGAGATGGGAAGATTCTGGATGGGGTAGGTGGGAAGATTCTGTATGGGGTAGGTAACATCACTGGCTAGAGAGATCAGAAGAGTCTGGATGGGGTAGGTAACATCACTGGCTGGGGAGATGGGAAGATTCTGGATGGGGTAAGTGGGAAGATTCTGGATGGGGTAGGTAACATCACTGGCTAGAGAGATCAGAAGAGTCTGGATGGGGTAGATAACATCACTGACTGGGGAGATGGGAAGATTCTGGATGGGATAGGTAACATCACTGGCTAGGGAGATGGGAGGATTCTGGATGGGGTAGGTACATCACTGGCTAGAAAGATCAGAAGAGTCTGGATGGGGTAGGTAACATCACTGACTGGGGAGATGGGAAGATTCTGGATGGGGTTGGTAAAATCACTGACTGGGGAGATGGGAAGAGTCTGGATGGGGTAGGTAACATCACTGGCTAGGAAGATGAGGAGATTCTGGATGGGGTAGGTAACATCACTGGCTAGGGAGATAAGGAGATTCTGGATGGGGAAGGTAACATCACTGGCTAGGAAGATGAGGAGATTCTGTACGGGGTAGGTAACATCACTGGTTAGGGAGATGAGGAGATTGTTGATGGGGTAGGTAACATCACTGGCTAGGAAGATGAGGAGATTCTGTACGGGGTAGGTAACATCACTGGCTAGAGAGATCAGAAGAGTCTGGATGGGGTAGGTACATCACTGGCTAGAGAGATCAGAAGATTCTGGATTGGGTAGGTACATCACTGGCTAGGGAGATGGGAAGATTCTGGATGGGGTAGGTAACATCACTGGCTAGGGAGATAAGGAGATTCTGGATGGGGTAGGTAACATCACTGGTTAGGGAGATGAGGAGATTGTTGATGGGGAAGGTAACATCACTGGCTAGGAAGATGAGGAGATTCTGTACGGGGTAGGTAACATCACTGGCTAGAGAGATCAGAAGAGTCTGGATGGGGTAGGTACATCACTGGCTAGAGAGATCAGAAGATTCTGGATTGGGTAGGTACATCACTGGCTAGGGAGATGGGAAGATTCTGGATGGGGTAGGTAACATCACTGGCTAGGGAGATAAGGAGATTCTGGATGGGGTAGGTAACATCACTGGCTAGGAAGATGAGGAGATTCTGTACGGGGTAGGTAACATCACTGGTTAGGGAGATGAGGAGATTGTTGATGGGGAAGGTAACATCACTGGCTAGGAAGATGAGGGAGATTCTGTGCGGGGGTAGGTAACATCACTGGCTAGAGAGATCAGAAGAGTCTGGATGGGGTAGGTACATCACTGGCTAGAGAGATCAGAAGATTCTGGATTGGGTAGGTACATCACTGGCTAGGGAGATGGGAAGATTCTGGATGGGGTAGGTAACATCACTGGCTAGGGAGATAAGGAGATTCTGGATGGGGTAGGTAACATCACTGGCTAGGAAGATGAGGAGATTCTGTACGGGGTAGGTAACATCACTGGTTAGGGAGATGAGGAGATTGTTGATGGGGTAGGTAACATCACTGGTTAGGAAGATGAGGAGATTCTGTACGGGGTAGGTAACATCACTGGTTAGGGAGATGAGGAGATTGTTGATGGGGAAGGTAACATCACTGGCTAGGAAGATGAGGAGATTCTGTACGGGGTAGGTAACATCACTGGCTAGAGAGATAAGGAGATTCTGGATGGGGTAGGTAACATCACTGGTTAGGGAGATGAGGAGATTGTTGATGGGGAAGGTAACATCACTGGCTAGGAAGATGAGGAGATTCTGTACGGGGTAGGTAACATCACTGGCTAGAGAGATCAGAAGAGTCTGGATGGGGTAGGTACATCACTGGCTAGAGAGATCAGAAGATTCTGGATTGGGTAGGTACATCACTGGCTAGGGAGATGGGAAGATTCTGGATGGGGTAGGTAACATCACTGGCTAGGGAGATAAGGAGATTCTGGATGGGGTAGGTAACATCACTGGCTAGGAAGATGAGGAGATTCTGTACGGGGTAGGTAACATCACTGGTTAGGGAGATGAGGAGATTGTTGATGGGGTAGGTAACATCACTGGCTAGGAAGATGAGGAGATTCTGTACGGGGTAGGTAACATCACTGGTTAGGGAGATGAGGAGATTGTTGATGGGGTAGGTAACATCACTGGCTAGGGAGATAAGGAGATTCTGGATGGGGTAGGTACATCACTGGCTAGGAAGATGAGGAGATTCTGTACGGGGTAGGTAACATCACTGGTTAGGGAGATGAGGAGATTGTTGATGGGGTAGGTAACATCACTGGCTAGGGAGATAAGGAGATTCTGGATGGGGAAGGTAACATCACTGGCTAGGAAGATGAGGAGATACTGTACGGGGTAGGTACATCACTGGTTAGAGAGATCAGAAGAGTCTGGATGGGGTAGGTAACATCACTGGCTAGGAAGATGAGGAGATTCTGGATGGGGTAGGTAACATCACTGGCTAGGGAGATAAGGAGATTCTGGATGGGGAAGGTAACATCACTGGCTAGGAAGATGAGGAGATTCTGGATGGGGTAGGTAACATCACTGGTTAGGGAGATGAGGAGATGGTTGATGGGGTAGGTAACATCACTGGCTAGGGAGATAAGGAGATTCTGGATGGGGAAGGTACATCACTGGCTAGGGAGATGAGGAGATTGTTGATGGGGTAGGTAACATCACTGGCTAGGGAGATAAGGAGATTCTGGATGGGGAAGGTACATCACTGGCTAGGGAGATGAGGAGATTGTTGATGGGGTAGGTAACATCACTGGTTAGGGAGATAAGGAGATTCTGGATGGGGTAAGTGGGAAGATTCTGGATGGGGTAGGTAACATCACTGGCTAGAGAGATCAGAAGAGTCTGGATGGGGTAGGTAACATCACTGACTGGGGAGATGGGAAGATTCTGGATGGGGTAGGTAACATCACTGGCTAGAGAGATCAGAAGAGTCTGGATGGGGTAGGTAACATCACTGACTGGGGAGATGGGAAGATTCTGGATGGGGTAGGTAACATCACTGGCTAGAGAGATCAGAAGAGTCTGGATGGGGTAGGTACATCACTGGCTAGAGAGATCAGAAGAGTCTGGATGGGGTAGGTACATCACTGGCTAGAGAGATCAGAAGAATGATTCACTGGATTGGAGTCAGAAGATTCTGGACATCACTGGCTAGGGAGATGGGAAGATTCTGGATGGGGTAGGTAACATCACTGGCTAGGGAGATAAGGAGATTATTGATGGGGAAGGTAACATCACTGGCTAGGAAGATGAGGAGATTCTGTACGGGGTAGGTAACATCACTGGTTAGGGAGATGAGGAGATTGTTGATGGGGTAGGTAACATCACTGGCTAGGGAGATAAGGAGATTCTGGATGGGGTAGGTACATCACTGGCTAGGGAGATGAGGAGATTGTTGATGGGGTAGGTACATCACTGGCTAGGAAGATGAGATTCTGTACGGGGTAGGTAACATCACTGGCTAGGGAGATGAGATTCTGGATGGGGTAGGTAACATCACTGGCTAGAGAGATCAGAAGAGTCTGGATGGGGTAGGTACATCACTGGCTAGAGAGATCAGAAGAGTCTGGATGGGGTAGGTACATCACTGGCTAGAGAGATCAGAAGATTCTGGATTGGGTAGGTACATCACTGGCTAGGGAGATGGGAAGATTCTGGATGGGGTAGGTAACATCACTGGCTAGGGAGATAAGGAGATTATTGATGGGGAAGGTAACATCACTGACTAGGAAGATGAGGAGATTCTGTACGGGGTAGGTAACATCACTGGCTAGGAAGATGAGGAGATTGTTGATGGGGTAGGTAACATCACTGGTTAGGGAGATAAGGAGATTCTGGATGGGGAAGGTACATCACTGGCTAGGGAGATGAGATTCTGTACGGGGTAGGTAACATCACTGGTTAGGGAGATGAGGAGATTGTTGATGGGGTAGGTAACATCACTGGCTAGGGAGATAAGGAGATTCTGGATGGGGTAGGTAACATCACTGGCTAGGAAGATGAGATTCTGTACGGGGTAGGTAACATCACTGGCTAGGGAGATGAGATTCTGGATGGGGTAGGTAACATCACTGGCTAGGAAGATGAGGAGATTCTGTACGGGGTAGGTAACAACACTGGCTAGGGAGATAAGGAAAGTCTGGATGGGGTAGGTAACAACACTTTTGTGCTTTTAAGAATAATTCACTGAATTATGATATATTCTTCTTTATGATTTCTCAATAATACAGGTTATCTGTTAACTCTAAATAATCTTTGTCTGTCATACTTCCAGCCTTGGTAGGAAAGTTCTATGAGGCAGACTGTTACATTGTCCTGAAGACTTTCATTGATGACACTAACAGCCTAGGGTGGCAGATTTGGTACTGGATCGGAGAAAAAGCCACGGTAAGAGACTGCTCAGTTAATATTTCAGGAGGTGAGATCTAGAAGACAAAATATTCTTATAAGTTAGTTGTAGCATTGTGATGAGGGGTACACAGGGTTTTATGCATCCCATGTTAGCTTAGATAAATGCAATGAATTTATTTTACCGAATGTTTAAATCACTCATTATGTAAATATAACATTAAAACAAACTGAAATTCAATTTTACTAACATGGCACTGACTAGTCAATCCAAACCACTGGTTCATGGTTCACTGACTGCCGTGGATGCATGCTTTTTCCATGGGCCGGGGTACAAATTATTTATTCTTCCTCTCAAAGATGTATACATGGTAATTTGTTCAAGGTCACGTGAACCAATCAGAGATGGACATTGTTACATGAGGTAGGATAATGGGTTTAGTTACCCATGTGTATAGATATATATGGAAGTTTGCTGCCTACTTTGATCTTCTGGACTTCTTACATCCATGGAGATGTGGAAGTACCAAAATTGTCTGTGTTGATGAAATGTAAACAGTCATTTATCTGGACATTTCAAGTGATCAGATTAAAGAACTTCTTTGCAATCTTGAATAAAAATGAATTGTTTTATTTATCACTGTATGTATAAAAATTATGGTGTTTATGTTTTTCAAAGGTTACTCTTATTTGCATATGAAAGACATGATGTATTGAAACTGCAAAGGCTTTCTTGTAATGACTTGTGCACGCTGCTGCCCTAATGATCATGTAACCTCCTAGCGGCTACTTGCTGACCTCACCTGTGAACATCTGGTTTAGACGTAGTCTTCAACAACCCATACTTAAGATGACTAATCGGATCAGGTGGTCATGCTAGCTGACTTGGTTGATGTAAGGGTAACGCTATTTTCCAGGGCATTATCATTTGCAGAAGCAAGAGGTCTTTCATTAACTGCCCGATGAAGGAGGGCAGTTGAAAAGACTGATGGCTTCTGCAAATGATAATGCCCTGGAAAATAGAGTTACCCTTATTATAGCTAAATTTGATAGAATTTTTAATGAAGTAAAAACAAACAACGGTATCTCTTTTGAAGTATATTTACTGCTAACAACAAACGCCTGAGGTCACTGACACACATTTTACAAATATGGGAACATCATAGAACAAAACAGATGACATCACTGTTGAGAGTGACAACATTCGACCTTGACCTTTGCCCATACTACCAGCCGCCATTTTTTCAATGCTGAACAACGTTAGAGTTGCAGTCGATGTTTTCATTGTTGCATGTTGTAATTTATGGTACAATTGTTAAGGTTGGCACCGGCAAGAAAGTGCATAATATGGCACAGGTACATGTGACGAATGTGAGTCAGAAATATCGCCGATATTGAACCTAAGTTCAAACGAGCCATAGGTGATTGAACACCTAACAATGTCAGCTAACAATGGGCATGATAATGGCCCGTCGTCAAGCAATTTGGGGGCATTTATCAATTTACAGTGGCCTGCTCATTTCTGATAAGATGCGGGCGTTTTAATGATAAATCTATCCATTTTGCTATAATGCATGTCATTGTTACCCAAATGCATAAATCGGTGCTCAATCACTGTATTGTCTGGCCCAGACTCCACTATTTACAGACCAATGTTCTGCAGCTGCAAAATTGGTGAGTGCTGTTTTAAACAACAAAGTTACTGGTTTCCTCAAGAACTTACAGCACTTGTAGCTATAATTAGTGTTTGTAATGTTACAGCTGGACAAGAAAGCCTGTGCTGCGATTCATGCTGTAAACCTAAGGAATCTGCTTGGTGCCAACTGTCGTACAATACGAGTTGAAATGAATGATGAAGACGATGACTTCTTTGATCTGTTTGAAAATGGTATTGCCTACATCGAGGGTGGTCGAACTGCTAGTGGTTTCTTTACAGTAGAAGACACTGTAAGTCCCCTTTCTATATAATGGCTTTATAACTTAATGATTTTGCATCTCATTCTTCCCAGCGACGACACTGCATTTCACCATCTGTCATTTCTAAAACTTGCCAAATATATCTTTGCCAAACCTGGCACATGGATCTCCAGGTGGTGAAGTGCACTATCTTTCCTTCCACAGTTCCATGGGAACAAGCTGCACCTTGACACAGTGTGTTGCTTAACTTCTACTCCAATAATGGTTTTGCGCAATAAAGCTACATTGGCTTTTCATCACCCCCTAAAGCTAAACACTACCCTATATGGTTGCCTGTCTAGCTGTGATTGATAATCGCAAATACATTTAAAGCACATTGTGACATTGACTGCCAAAAGTGACTGACCCATCTTAGTTCTAGATTATGTCCAGGTGTTGTAATTGTTGGCAGTGTCCATGTTGTTGTATAGTGTATGCTGAGATCATGACATTCACCGTGAGCAGCTGAATCACTTTACCTCCTTACTCCAGTCATACTGTGGATAATCCACTTTCCATCCCCACTTGCCTGAATTCCAGATTCAAATGATAGTTATTGTTCCAAGTTCTAAAGTTAGTCGACTTCATACTGTGCTCTGGCTTCACATTCCTTCCATAGGTGTTGACAGAGAGCCTCAGCTTCATTTTAACTACTTTGTGTGCCTTTCTTTATGTTTACTGCAATACAGTGTGTACTTGTGTTGCAGGAGTATGAGACAAAGCTGTACAAAGCCACAGGGACACAGTCGGTTCACATGGAGAGGGTAAAAACATAATACATACTACAGTGTTTAATTCTATTTTCATGCTTATTAGTGACAACAGATGGTCGGCTGTCAACATGACTGCATTTAAATAGCTCTAGTTCTTTTAATTATGGGCAACTTGAACGTTGTCTTGGCCGTGATGTTAAGATTGTTACTGTCTTAAAAAGATTGTCCTTTCTGTTAATCTACTCCCCTGACTTAACAAAGTTGCTGGTACTGTGTATTCTGTGTGCAGTGCCCAGTCAATGTGAGCAGTCTTGACTGTCGACATGTCTTCCTGCTGGACAGTGGACTTAAACTGTTTGTCTGGGTGGGCAAAACTTCCAAGGGTGTGACAAAGACCAAAACCAGGTAATGACCTCTGCAGTGTTTGTTGATAGTTTATTTTTGCTAATAAACAATTGTGACCTTGAAACAATACTTTCAACCACCTTTGAATGTAATTCTTCTTTATATCAGTGATTATTTCACTTCATTTCATGTCTAAATTCCAAGTACTTATCACGCTTAGGTTTTTTGTTTTGAGAGTCTGACCATAAACAGCCACACATTACATCCTTGATGGCAAAAGATTTCATTTCTTGTAACATTCAGTGATTGAATCTATTGAAAAACAGTGCCATTTGCCTATTGTTTCCTGTCGTGTCAGGTATACAGTGTAATGTTACTATTTGTGCAGGTTGATATCAGAAAAGATAAACAAGAACGAACGGAAGAACAAGGCTGAGATCTTTGTCCTGCCCCAAGGTCAGGAGACAGCAGAATTCTGGAAACTTGTTGGTGGTCCTCCTCCTTCCCTGGTGGTGAAGGTGGGTGGATGTATGACCGTGGTACTTATACTGACTCACATGTGTCACAGATTTGCTACACTGACATGAGGACAAGGTTTGCTGTTTAATGAATGCATTTCACACTGGTACAAATTATTATTGTCAAAAGATATCTGATCCTTTCATCACCACTGTCAGCACAGGTACTCCAAAAGTGTACTGTAGGCACACATTTTAGCTAAGCATGTTCAAGCATGGCTACCTTCAATTCCCAAATATTTACCTTAAGAACTTTGTTTGGTAGAGTTTGCTGTAAGAATGAAAAATCAGGACTATAGTTAACATGAATCATCAGTGAAAATGTCCTAAACAGTCCATTGTAGTTAATCTGTGTATTTTACTGTTGAGTTTCCTCTAAGTGAGACTGGTTGGTAAGTCATGCCAAATATTGTATAGTTCTGTTTCCTAGAAATATGTTATTAGAAAGTAGAGGTACCTAAATTACCATGGGTATATTCGTAGTATCAATGTCTGGCCCAATTTGCCACTACTTGTGCTATGTCCAGTACGTTGCAGGGGCAGTCGTCTGGTTCGGGGGGCGAAGAAGAGATCGGCTACAATGGAGTTGACACCTGTTCAGTAGTAAGAAGAAGACTTCGTCTTCATCTACGTCGCAGATGAGAGCATCTGTAGCCAGATCGGAGTCTAAATCTACGCAGCCTACTAAGTCAACGCATCAGAAATCATTCAATGAAGAGATTATACCCCATCATGAAGTAGACATATTTGATGAACCTCTGTTACTTCTACCTGAAGTACCTACTAGATCGGCGACACAATCGACTTCCACGACTACTAAATCGTCTCCTGCAACTGCTACAGCGGGCCAGCTGTTTGACGACCATCCACCAACTTCTTAACAGAGTGAAGTTGAAGCACACAACTCATCAGCGTTCACAAACGCTTCATCTACACAGCAGCAGCTTCAATCAATGCAGAACTTTGATCCAGGTGAAGTCATGAGTCAATTCACTAACCAGATGATGGCCATGATGGAACGTAGGTTCGAGGAAGAGGCGAAGGCTCGACAGAACCTCTCATCTGCTGACAACGTGCGCAAACCCTCGGACCTGCGCGAACCAACTACTCCTCATAGATCTACGTCTCAAGACTACGTTGGCGAACGTATACCTTCGCGAAGGTCTCCACAGTCTGACGACTCTGTCATCATGGATGAAGATGGAAGGCATGCGAAGTCTACTTATTCTTCAAGATCTACATCTGCGAACCCTCAACGATTGAGAACGCCTAAGGATCCATCTCTAAGACCACACCGCTCTAGATCGCGATCCCACATCTCTCACAGACGTTCGCGAGAACCAAGTTTGCGGAGGCAGGACTCAACTCGTCGGATGGATCTCAAGATAGATGTTCGCGAAGAGAGTTATCACAAGACAGAGGTTCGTGAAGAGAGGATTCACGAAACAGAGGTTCGCGAAGAGATGCATCTAGAGACAGAGGTTTGCGAAGGGAGGACTTACAAGATAGACGTTTGCGAGGGGAGGAATCTAGAGATAGAGGTTCGCGAAAGGATGATGCAAGAGATGGAGGTTCGAGAAGGGATGACTCTAGGGATACAGGTTCGCAGAAGGATGATTTGCGGAGGCATAGTTCTACGGTCCGAGATATATCTGATGAACAAGCAGAAGTTACAGCTTGCATAGCCAATGGATTGAACTTGGAGTCTCCTTCTAAGGATATGGATGAAGTCTACACATATAAGATGTGCAACGACTACTTTGACTCGGTGACTATTCCTCCGATTGAACGTATATCCAAGGTACCTTCTAACCTACACACAGCTTTTGAGAAAGCTACTAAGTTCCAGAATCAACATCTGCCATCCTTTAACGTGAAGAAATTCCCATTACATCACATGGATCCCTTTATGAAGGCGCCAGATTTAGATGCTAACATGAAGTTAGTCAACGACTCTCGGAACAAGATATACAAAGTGAAAGGGAAAAAGTTATCCCAACTTGATACTGCTACAAGGAGATCTTTCTTCAGGTTAGCCAGATCTAGAGCAATCAATGAAGCATTAATTAACAAGTTCCAGAACCCCAGTTCGGAAGAAGATAGAATGATGCTATCAGCTCTGCTCTCTCAGAAGAAGGACCGGGGCGGTGGGGTAGCCTAGTGGTTAAAGCGTTGGCTCGTCACGCCGAAGACCCAGGTTCGAATCCCCACATGGGTACAATGTGTGAAGCCCATTTCTGGTGTCCCCCGCCGTGATGTTGCTGGAATATTGCTAAAAGCAGGGTAAAACCAAACTCAGTCAGTCAGTCAGAAGAAGGACCAAAACTTTTTATCGGACCATCTGGCATCTATATCGACAGGTCTCACTTTGCTACGGAGACAAGGTGCTTAGAGCTCCGTGGGAGGCGCCTACTATCTTCTGAGGCGAGATAGACGATGCAGCTAAGGAAGCTACTCATGATTCAAGAGAAGTCATGATGATTCAGTCTATAGATACTCTAGCCAACGTCACTCGTCATACTTCCAAGAAGTACAACAGCAAGTCGAAATATTCCGGCATCCAGAAGGCTAAGGAGAAGAAGTACTGCAGCTTCAGAGGCGGGAAAGGTTCATTTCGTCGCCCATCCGGAATCTACAGAGAGAACTCAGGGAGAGGTCGTACTCCCAGAGGATCCAGAGGAGCTAGACGTTGATATTGGGGTTTGGAACGACTGCAGTCTTCCACCCCCAGCTGTTCCTGTAAAACCATCGACAGTGGGTGGACGTCTACCAAGGTACTGGAAAAATTTTAGAGGACGACTACGCCTCACAAGTACTGCGAGAAGGATACAGAGTGCAGCTCAAGGCCACACCACCGTTAACCCTCAGTCCGATGGTCTTCGATTATGCAGACGAGCAGGCAGACAAGTTACAAGAAGCCATCAACTCACTTCTTATCAAGAATGCGGTAGAGAAAATGGATCAACATCATCTCACGCCAGGCTTCTACTCCCCAATTTTTCTAGTACCCAAGAAATACTCCAAAGAGAAGTTCAGGTTGATTTACAACATGCGCAAATTCAACAAAGACTATCTACTGAAACCAGACAGGTTCAGAATGATCCACCTACCTCAACTCAGACTACTCGTCCGTCCAGCAGATTACATGGCCAGCATAGACCTTCAGGATGCATATCTACACATCCCCATAAATCCGGAATCAAGAAAGTATCTGCGACTCCTATTCAGAGGTCAGCACTTCCAATGGAACGTCCAACCGTTTGGAATATCTTCGGCTCCGTGGCTATTCACACGAGTAACCAAGCCGATAGTCGCATACCTACATCATCGAGGTCTACACAATGCCTTTTACCTGGACAATGGCATTCAGGTTCATCAAAGTGCCAGTCAACTCAGACTACAGCTGAACTTCACAATCAAGTTGTTCACTCAACTAGGATGGCTGGTGAATCTTATGAAGTTAGAGTTGGAACCAAAACAAGATCTTCAATTTCTGGGGATAAGATTTATCACAGCCATGAATCCTCAAGCAGTCATCTCTCCATTAACACTATGAACATGGCAATGTCTACTCGGTCTACTAACCTCGGCGCAGGACTTGACTCGCACAGGAAGGTTACAACTAAGACCGCTGCAATAGTTCCTGACAAAACATCTGGACAGCGTCGACCCTATCTTGCTGCCAGACAATCTCAAGAGGTACCTACTTTGGTGGACTCACAGGTCGAACGTCTGCGGAGGGACCTATTTACATGAGCCGGGCCTTCGACACACATCTCTACGTAGACTATTCGATACAAGGTTGGGGTGCACATCTCAACAAGGGCGTTGCATCAGGGAAGTGGTCCAAAACAGAGCAGCATCTTCACATCAAATCTGCTGGAGATGAAAGCCGTGATCAACGCCTACAACTATGGTCGAGCTCGCTGATCAACAGGAAACTGATGGTCCACACGGACAACTCTACAGTGGCATTCTCCATAAATCGGCAAGGATCTACAAGATCACTAAGCCTACTACAGTTCACATTCCAGTTGTTCGACATCACAGAGGAGGCAAACATCTGGATAAAGGCATGTCACATACCTGGAACCAAGAACGTACTTGCAGACTCATTTCATGGGAAGGTCTAAACACTTACGCGTTTCCACCCCCGATATTAATACCGAAAGTACTGTTGAAGATCAAACAGACGCAGGCACTACAACTGACTTTAGTCGCGTCCTATTGGCCAGCGAGAGTATGGTTCCTAGACCTAATAGAAGATCTTGGAAGTCCAACCCTCAAGTTACCAGAATGGCCGAACCTACTCAGACATCAACACACCAAGCGAAGTCCACGGGAACCCAGCACTGTTCCAGCTACATGTGTGGACCGTATCAAAACATGTTTGAAGAAAAGAGGATACTCCGCCAGAGCAGCCAACGCAGTAACCTTAGCGTTACGCAGATCCACTCGTAACCTGTATGACGACAAGTGGCAGAAGTTTGAGACATATGCAAGGCGGAAAGACTTCATAGCTATGAAAGCTACTCATCCTCCAGTGGCGGAATATCTATGTCATCTTAGATATACTAGACATCTGAAAGGTTCGACATTATCCACGTATCTGGCTGCCATCAGTACAGTAATCACCATGAAGACAGGCATCAAGTTGACGAAAGTACCAGAATTACTTGCTCTGCTGAGATCTTTTAAACTGGAGGACCAGCAAAAGAAATTCAGAGCACCCGCCTGGGATCTGAATGTAATTCTACGTCATCTCATGATCGATGCCTATGAACCTCTGGAACAGACTACCTTCGAGCTGCTTACACAGAAGACTCTGTTCCTGCTTGCATTAGCCACGGCAGCTCAAATGTCTGAGATACATGCGCTGGACTTTGGTCGAACTAGATTCGACATGGGGCACCATGCTGCAGTACATCTAGGACTCAGATGGGACTTTATTGCCAAGAATCAACTACCTGGTCAACCAGATAGACCTTCTATGTACCAGCGCTATCTACGATCCTCGGACCAGAGGATATGCAAGATTTATATTTGTGTCCTGTCAGAGCCCTGAAGATATATCTTCAAAAGACTAAAACAAGGAGAAGGAAATTCAAGCGCCTATTCATCCCATTATCTACAGAGACATCAGTAGAAGTCTCAAGAACGACAATATCGTTCTGGATGAGAGCCGTTATATTGAGAGCCTACAAAGCAGCAGGACTAGAACCTCCAAGAGCTTCCAACCCACACGAAGTCAGAGCACTGGCATCAACACTAGCCCTGCACGGAAATTGCTCTATATCATCAATTATGGAGGGCTGCTTCTGGAAGTCGGACACAGTGTTTGCCAACCACTACCTCCGAGACACGGCCACGGAAGACGTCTCTGGCATGCACCAGTTTGGGCCTCTCGTTGTAGCACAGCAACTAATGGTTCCACAAGGGCGCTGAGTTGGAAATCTCACCCTTTATCATGTTGACTTGTTGAAAACCTTTACTAAGGAAAAAGTATTAGTTTGAAAGTCCATGCGCACAGTCTAGGACAGACTAGCATGACTGATAAAGATCCTGTACGGGTAAAGATCTTACCTGTACGTAAAGGGGTTGCAACTCATTTATGATAAAGATCTGATCATAATCTATGGGTTGTTATAGATAACTAGTAAAAAGAAGATACTAGTATATCTTAAGCCACATGAATCAACATGATTCAACTTGTCTGAGATTGAAGTAAGACAAGAAAGTGGTTCCCCCGAGTTATAACGGAAGTTTGAAGAATAGGATCTCGGAAATGCCCTCCCATGGGGAGGGATACAGGACGTATCTAAGGACAGCTGATGAATCCAGGAAGTGGCTTGACCCACCACCAATCCGAAGGATTCTATAAGCAAAAGATCATGAGTCAGGATAAGGAAAAATATGTAATTTTTTAAGTCAAATTTATATTTTATACTTATCCTGACTCATGAGGTCAAGCCCTCCTAACCTCCCCGCTGGAAACACTTCGGATTTCACAGTAGATCCAGGTGCATGGGCAGAAAATCAGGAGAGAGTGACAAGTAAGGCTGGTCACATGACTGTTTACGTGGGAAAAGGGAGGTAACTCGTGGGTGAGTGTACTTTTACGTCCGCTTTGGGAACTTCAAAGGATTCAAGTGTTCCACTACCATTCGCATAGGAAAGGGAGATAAGCAAAAGATCATGAGTCAGGATAATTATAAAATATCAATTTTACTGAAAAATTACATTTTTTTTAGCAGTTTATCTGTATAAAATTTCTAATTTACACCAGAGGAACATTCATGTAGTACATTAGCCAACAATGACCCCCATCAGCTAGTAGAGCACTATCATATAGAATACCTATTATAATAATTTCAAATTGTTTCAGGAAAGTGTACTGTCCGGTATTGGCATGATAGCACCACGTTTATACAGGGTAGAACTCGGGAAAGGCTACCTCAACTTGCCCCAAGGTGAGTGTAATCTACCTTATTGCATGGTGTTGGTCCTATTACATATTTACTGTGCCTCTTGTCTGAAACCCCAGCAAGTTAGGTGTGGAGATACAAGGATTAGTACAGGACAGGTTAGTGTATGAGGTTACAAGTGGGTTGACACTGTGTGTTGCACTGTGAACATGTTCTAGGACAGGTTAGTGTATGAGGGTACAAGTGGGTTGACACTGTGTATTCCACTGTGAACATCTTCTAGGACAGGTTAGTGTATGAGGGTACAAGTGGGTTGACACTGTGAATTCCACTGTGAACATCTTCCAGGACAGGTTAGTGTATGAGGGTACAAGTGGGTTGACCCTGTGTATTCCACTGTGAACATCTTCCAGGACAGGTTAGTGTATGAGGGTACAAGTGGGTTGACACTGTGTATTCCACTGTGAACATCTTCCAGGACAGGGTAGTGTATGAGGTTACAAGTGGGTTGACACTGTGTATTCCACTGTGAACATCTTCTAGGACAGGTTAGTGTATGAGGGTACAAGTGGGTTGACACTGTGTATTCCACTGTGAACATCTTCCAGGACAGGCTAGTGTATGAGGTTACAAGTGGGTTGACACTGTGTGTTGCACTGTGAACATCTTCTAGGACAGGTTAGTGTATGAGGGTACAAGTGGGTTGACACTGTGTATTCCACTGTGAACATCTTCTAGGACAGGTTAGTGTATGAGGGTACAAGTGGGTTGACACTGTGAATTCCACTGTGAACATCTTCCAGGACAGGTTAGTGTATGAGGGTACAAGTGGGTTGACCCTGTGTATTCCACTGTGAACATCTTCCAGGACAGGTTAGTGTATGAGGGTACAAGTGGGTTGACACTGTGTATTCCACTGTGAACATCTTCCAGGACAGGGTAGTGTATGAGGTTACAAGTGGGTTGACACTGTGTATTCCACTGTGAACATCTTCTAGGACAGGTTAGTGTATGAGGGTACAAGTGGGTTGACACTGTGTATTCCACTGTGAACATCTTCTAGGACAGGTTAGTGTATGAGGGTACAAGTGGGTTGACCCTGTGTATTCCACTGTGAACATCTTCCAGGACAGGTTAGTGTATGAGGGTACAAGTGGGTTGACACTGTGTATTCCACTGTGAACATCTTCCAGGTCAGGTTAGTGTATGAGGGTACAAGTGGGTTGACACTGTGTATTCCACTGTGAACATATTTTAGGATGGGTTAGTGTATGAGGGTACAAGTGGGTTGACACTGTGTATTGCACTGTGAACATCTTCCAGGACAGGTTAGTGTATGAGGGTACAAGTGGGTTGACACTGTGTATTCCACTGTGAACATCTTCCAGGACAGGTTAGTGTATGAGGGTACAAGTGGGTTGACCCTGTGTATTCCACTGTGAACATCTTCCAGGACAGGTTAGTGTATGAGGGTACATGTGGGTTGACACTGTGTATTGCACTGTGAACATCTTCCAGGACAGGGTAGTGTATGAGGTTACAAGTGGGTTGACACTGTGTGTTTGCACTGTGAACATCTTCCAGGACAGGTTAGTGTATGAGGTTGACACTGTGTATTCCACTATGAACATCTTCCAGGACAGGGTAGTGTATGAGGGTACAGAGTGGGTTGACACTGTGTATTCCACTGTGAACATCTTCTAGGTCAGGTTAGTGTATGAGAAGGTTAAGGCAAGAGTACAAGTGGGTTGACACTGTGTATTCCACTGTGAACATCTTCTAGGACAGGTTAGTGTATGAGGTTACAAGTGGGTTGACACTGTGTATTCCACTGTGAACATCTTCTAGGACAGGTTTAGTGTATGAGGGGTACAAGTGGGTTGACACTGTGTATTCCACTGTGAACATCTTCTAGGACAGGTTAGTGTATGAGGGTACAAGTGGGTTGACCCTGTGTATTCCACTGTGAACATCTTCCAGGACAGGTTAGTGTATGAGGGGTACAAGTGGGTTGACACTGTGTATTCCACTGTGAACATCTTCCAGGTCAGGTTAGTGTATGAGGGTACAAGTGGGTTGACACTGTGTTGTATTCCACTGTGAACATCTTCAGGACAGGTTAGTGTATGAGGGTACAAGTGGGTTGACCCTGTGTATTCCACTGTGAACATCTTCCAGGACAGGTTAGTGTATGAGGGTACATGTGGGTTGACACTGTGTATTGCACTGTGAACATCTTCCAGGACAGGGTAGTGTATGAGGTTACAAGTGGGTTGACACTGTGTGTTGCACTGTGAACATCTTCCAGGACAGGTTAGTGTATGAGGGTACAAGTGGGTTGACACTGTGTATTCCACTGTGAACATCTTCCAGGACAGGGTAGTGTATGAGGGTACAAGTGGGTTGACACTGTGTATTCCACTGTGAACATCTTCTAGGTCAGGTTAGTGTATGAGGGTACAAGTGGGTTGACACTGTGTATTCCACTGTGAACATCTTCTAGGTCAGGTTAGTGTATGAGGGTACAAGTGGGTTGACACTGTGTATTCCACTGTGAACATCTTCCAGGACAGGTTAGTGTATGAGGGTACAAGTGGGTTGACACTGTGTATTGCACTGTGAACATCTTCTAGGATGGGTCAATACAGAGGGAACATGATTGTCCTGACCTAGATCATGGCTGGCGATATTTACACAACTGTTTTTGTCTTCCTTAAGTGGCATTTAGAAGCTGGTATGATGAAGTGGAACACTTTTTTGGGATAGACAACTTCTTTGTTGCAGTAGTAGTTGCGACATTTCGGTGTAGATCCTAACACCGTTATCAAGCAAAAGATACACAACATTTGCACAAGGAGAAATATATACATGGCGGTTATTGGTTTATGCAATAGAAGAGGTTGATGTACGGTGTGTTGACATGGGACTTGTTGTGATACGAATGATTGAAGCCAGTAGACAAAGGGTGGGTTATTCTTGATTAGGCTTGATTAGTTGATCGTAAGCCGTGGAGATGTAAGAACCTTGATCTCTGTTGATTGCCGGGTTGAATCGTTTGATGTTGATTGCATCTAAGAGTTTTCTTATCTTGTAATCTGACCAGTTGGCTTCTAGGATGCTGATGTTGTTCCAAAGTATGGTATGGTTTGGGTGGGCTTGGGTGTGGTCGGAAATGGCTGATTTGGAGTCTTTTTTCTTTACAGATGTCTGATGTTCCTTTATTCGTAGGTTTAGGGGGCGGCACGTTTCTCCTATGTATGAGTCACCACAGTCGCATTGAATGTGGTAGACAACGCCTGAAGGGTCTTCTTTGTTGCTTGTAGGTGGTTTACCGTTGGCTTGTAGGATATGCTGAATTGATGTGCCTCTCTGGTACACAACATCTATGTTGGCTTGCTTCTTAAGTAGTCTCCGGATATGGTGGCTGATTGTATCGAGGTATGGTATACTGATGATGAACGGGGCTGATTGTTGACGTGGTGGTTTGTCTTTTGGGTTGACTGTGGAGTTGATGATTCTGTTGACTAGGTTAGCTGGATAATCGTTAAGGTTTATGAAGACATGGCGAAGGTGTTCTAACTCGACTTCAAGGGCTTGGGTTGTGGAGCTGATGTTCTTTGCTCTTCTGGCTAGGGTGGCGATTATACCTCTCTTGACTTGTAGTGGGTGATTAGATGAGAAGTGAAGATATTGGTTGGTTGGTTTCCTATGGACACTTGGTTGGAGTTTGTTGTTGCCTTTTTCTACTTGGACGTATAATCGCCACCCTAGCCAGAAGAGCAAAGAACATCAGGATCTACACCGAAACGTCGCAACTACTACTGCAACAAAGAAGTTGTCTATCCATAAAAAGTCTTCCACTTCAACTGTTTTTGTGCCTGTTGCAGTTGAAATTCCCAAGGCAAAGTTGGTGCAGAGATTACTGGACACAAAATGTGTGTATATCCTCGACTGCAACTCTGATGTGTTTGTCTGGTAGGTATTCAACACAAATAAAGGATTTTTATTACTTATCCAGTTGTGTTTTACTAAGTATGTTTAGACACATGTCATGGGTTCCCAATTGCGCAGATCGATGCTCATGCTGTTGATCACTGGATTGTCTGGTCCAGACTTGATTATTTGCAGACCGCCGCCATATAGCTGGAATATAGCTGAGTGCGGCGTAAAACTAAACTCATTCACTCCCTCGCTAAGTATGTTTATCTCATAAAGGATTTTATTCATAGTGAGGGAGACACTAAATAGGGTTATTTCCCCTTTCCTGTGTTTCCACCCTTTAATAGGACTGTACAGTATAAAACACTTTTAATCTCCAATATTGATGGTTTGAAGAGGTATAGATTGATCATTGATTTCAGGATAGGCAAGAAATCCACCAGACTGATTCGGGCAGCAGCATTGAAGCTTTCTCAGGAACTGTATTCAATGATGGAAAGGCCAAAGTATGCCAGTGTTTCCCGCTGTTTAGAAGGGTGAGTGTTACGAGTCATCCAGTCCACTGGATAAGATTGAAGTTTGTTCTTCAGTTTTACAAAATTTTAAGCATTCCAGTTTCAGTCTGAAATAAACTCATGCTCCAATGAGTAATTTGTGCTTCTACTTTAATGTTTTTCCTTTTTTGTGCTGTTCACCTGACAGAAAGTCAAGAGATGTTTGCTGTTACCTACGTGTTGTTATTAGTTCTGTTTAACTTTAACATTTTTGACATCTCTGATACCAAAAGGTCAATGGAGTTGAAATTTCAACACAGCTATAGTCTCCTTAAAATTACTCTCATAGTTCAAATCTGGTTGAAAACATGGCTACCGTTTTTAGATTTTCATATTTAGCTCACCTTACTAAAAGTGAATCTAGTGTCATAACATCTTCTCAGCAATCACTGGACCAATGGAGCTGAAACATGCTTCAACTTAACAATCGGGATCCCCCATTCTTCTTCATAGAGATCGTCCTTGGGGTACATATTATGCATTTTCCAAACTGAAAATGTCCTGTGACAGTTGTATCAATGTTTTTTGAATAAAAAGATTGTACAATAAATAATTTTTTTTATTTATTATACGGCCCCCACCAACAGAGTTGCATGTGCACCAACTGGGTAAGCTCCTAGCCCGTATCATCATTCCTTCTGCTGTCACTGCCGTGAACAGACACGAATGTGCCGCGCAGAGCTGACTTTATCCGAGATAAAGAACATGTCTGAGACACCACCTGTATGTATGGTCTTATTTGCCTAATGAAAGGAACTGTAAAGCTTTGCAGTTGGTTGTTTCATAATTGAGACTTTGTATTAATTATATTACGCTAACTTTCCCGTGGTTTACGCACATGTTGCTCTGCCATGGCGGGAAGTTTAGCGTGCCATGTGGTCGTAATATTGCGTATTGTACCAACTATTACTTCCCGTGGTAGCCTTCACGTATTTTTCAATGTTTTCTACATGTATATATGTTGCTGGTACGCCGTTAGCTACATGCTTGCGTGTTTGCTTTCAGGCTTTTACCTCCTGTTCGGTCTGAGGACAAAGCATTCCACGGGCCGACAGGCATGACCAATGTGTGGCCTGCCTGGAGAAAACCGGCCATGACGCCGAAGTGTGTACTATCTGTCTTGGGTTTTCCCCCCGTGCCCAAAAGAGGAGGGCAGCTGACACTCTCTTTTATAGAGAGAAGCGAGAGGCGGGTGGGGAACTCACCCAGGTCCCCCCGTCTAAGACCCAAAAGCGGTCTCGTAAGGGAAAAAAATCCCACAGCCAATCCCCCTCTCCAGCTACTACTGGTGGGTTTGACATGTCATTAATGACTCAATTATTTCAGCAACATATGGACTCTGTGAAGTCCCTCGTCCATGAGTTTGTTGGAGGGCTCCGGCAGGAGTTCGCCTCACTCTGGGCCGGGCGGAGAGTCAGGGAGTGGGATCGCCCGGGCTCGGCTCGATCCCTCAGCCTTGAGCGTCTGTAGACCCGTTGCCTCTGGCTTCGGTCCGGGGCCTCGGCTGCCCCGGAGGGGAGGTGCTCCCAGTCCCCTCGGAGTTGGCGCAGGGGACTGTTGAGTATTCCTGGGGTTCCGATCCCTCGCCCTCCGCCCCATGAGAGCGGAGGCACCAGTTCTGCCTGGTATGCCTCCAGTGTCTCGGGACCGGGGTCCGTGCACGCTTGCAGGCGCTGACGCGGGGCACTCTGTCTGCTCCTCCCTCTCTGTGGTTCCTAGTGCTAGGCAGCCCACCGGGTCGGGGTTAGGGTCCTCTTTCCGAGGAGACCCAGCCTCTGACTCGGGCTCGGGCGCCGAGTCGATGGATACTGGGGAGGTAGAGGAGCATGACGGTGCCTTCCGTTTCGCTTCGGCTCTGCGGGAGGTCCGGCAAAGGATTGCCGAGTACCTACCCCAGGCCGCGGTGCCTGTTAGCAGCTCGGACTCGGCTGAGTTCCGCTTGACGCAGCTCCGCATTCTGCCCTCGTTAGTACAGGACGTGGTGGATCCCCTCTTGTCTGGTTCTCGTCTCCGATTTGACTTGCCGGAGCTTGTCAGGAGATACCAGCTTGGGGAGGATTCCCTGTCCGTGGTACCTATCGTGGACGAGTGTGTTTTTACTTCCGTCGCCCTGGGGGGAGGCTCGGCTTCCTCCGGAGCAGCTCCGGCTGCTCGGCAAGGCGCGTTACTCCACCGTTTGCCCTCGCGGGCGCCCCCCTGCAGCATGCGTACCGTACCTACGAGGAGGTTTACCGGAACGCCATGCAGCAGGTCAGGGTGGTGGTCCATGAGGCCTACCTCTCCTCGATACAGAGGTCGGCCCTGGAGGCGGTAGGGCATGCTGGTGACGTTTCTCCGCATGTCGTGCTGCTCCGTCAGCTATCGGAAGTACAGGCCCACTGCGCGGGCGACTCTTTGCGGTCTGCTGCGTCGACGGTGATGTGCGCAGTCATGGGGATGCGCAAGCTGTGGCTGTCGACGTCTCGGTACTCGACAGCGACACAGCAGACCTTGCTGGCCCTCCCATTCCGTCTGGGAGCGACCCTCTTTCCAGGGGCACAGCAGGTCATTCGGGAGGCTGCCGCTGCAGCTACCTCCTTCAAGGACTCTAAGGCCTTGTTGGAGCACCCGCGGGTGTCTCGCCCCCAGCCTCCCGTTCCACCTTCCTCCGCCGGGGTGCAGCCTACACCCGAGTCTGCCGGCTGGCTTCGGCCGCTTGGTAGGGGTAGGCGGAGGAACCGGTCCGCCAAGGGTAGGGGCAAGGAGCAGTCCTCGTCGACTAGCTCCCAGCCTTTTGGGCGCGCGGAGGTCTGCCCGACCTCCGTTAACCCATCAGGCTGTCGCTCAAGCCGTGTGTCACGCCCAGTCAGCTCCGCTTCTTTCGGGACAACGCGCACACGCCGTACCCCATATCCCAGTGGGAGGCCGCCTCTCTCTATTCCTGCGGAATGGGAGAAGGCTACCAACAATGCTTGGGTGCTGTCCACCGTCAACATCGGCCATTTACCACTGTGGGCGAGGTCCGCCCGACTTCACCGGCATCGCCGCGACTCCGGTGCCGTCATGTCAGGCAAGAGGCGGACATATTGCGCGGACGAAGTTCAGGCTCTGCTGGACAAGTCCGCCAATCGGCGCATTCCACGGGAGAGGAACAGGCGGGATTTTACTCCGCGTACTTCCTCGTCGAAGAAAGGCGGCGGGTTCCGTCCCCATTCTCAACCTCAAGGGGTTGAACCGCATGCTAGAAGTACCATCCTTCAAGATGGAGACACTGCGCTTTCGGTGATCTCATCTATTCAGCCCGGCGATTGGCTCCGTCAATGCGACCTAAAGGATCGCGTATCTGCATGTGCCCATACATCCATCGTTCAAGCAGTACCTTCGGTTCTCTTACGGCGGGATGTGTTACCAATTCAGGGTGCTCCCCTTGGCATATCGACTGCCCCAAGGGTGTTCACCAAGCTCATGTTAGTCCCGGTTACCCTCGCTGCGCTTCGCCAAGGAAGGCGTTGTTACCCTTACCTCGGCGACTGGTTGCTTGCGGAGCACTAACACAGCCAGCGAGTCTAGATGCTACTCACACAGTGATAGACATTCTAATTAGGTCTGGGGTGGATCATCAACCTCAAGAAATCCGACCTGGTACCCACCCAGGACTTGGTTTTCTTGGTAGCGATTCAAACAAACAAGGATCTCGTTTCCTTGTCGCCCGACCGGATCACCAGAGTTCGGGAGATGGTATCTTCGTTCCTCTCCCAGCCCCAGGCACCAGCACGGACTTGGCTCCGTCTACTGGGCCATATGGCGGCGACGATCTCTGTAGTGTGGTGGGCACGGTTGAGGATGCGCCCTATACAGCAAGCTTTGGCTCGGCTGTGGGCTCACACGGAGGACCTGGAGTGCAGTCTCACAGTCCCCGGGTGGTTGACACCTCACCTTCAGTGGTGGACAAATGTCGGGAATCTCACCAGGGGGATCCCCTTGGAAATCCCGACGCCAGCTCTCACAGTTCAGACCGATGCGTCCCTCACGGGCTGGGGGGGTGTTCTGGGCAGTCTGTCGGCGTCCGGACTCTGTTCGAAGCGAAGCCCACCTTCACATCAGCGTGTTGGAACTGAGAGCTGTGCGGTTGGTTTTCGGCTTCAGAGAGCATGTCCGTGGCCAGGTAGTCTGTCTTCAGTTGGACAACCAGGCGGCCATGTCGTACATCCTGAAGCAGGGCGACACGGTGTCCCCAGCTCCTCTGGGAGGTGGGACTTTCTCCTCTGGTGCGACCAGTCGCGATTGTCAGGTACTCCCTGTTTATCTCCGGGGCTGGAGAGCGTCGCGAGCAGGCGTGCTCTCTCGCCGGATCCTGGCCCCGCGCGAAGTGGATGCTTTCGACAGGCAGATTTTCAGAGTAATCTCCCAGTTATGCGGGTGGTCGTTCCAGGTGGATCTGTTTGCGTCGGCGGGGCGCATCAGACATCCGTGTTCTGCTCTCGAATACGGACCCAGGGGCGTTGGCTGCGAGGCCTTCCTGCTGGATTGGGCGGGCAAAGTGCTCTGGGCGTTCCGCCCGTTACCACTCATTCCCGTGTCCTTTCACAGCTGTCCACCCAGCCAGCTCGGCTGCTTGTGCTACTGGCACCGCTTTGGCCGTCACAGAGCTGGTTTCCGGTAATTCTTAGGTTTCTGGCTCAGCCTCCTGTTCTATTACCTTTACTGACCCGGACATTCTCCTCAGAGCGGGCCCCCACCCAAATCCACGGATTCAGTGGGTGGCTTGGCCTCTGTCAGGTCTAGCCTCGAGGCATCGCGGAATTCCTGCAGCAGTTGCAGACACAATTCTGGCCGGTGGGATTCGACAAAGCGTTCAGTATGAGGATAGGTGGTCCCGCTATGCGGCTGGTGTTCAGATAGGGGGGATTGCAGATCCCTTTTCTGCGGATTTAGTCCAGTATTGGAGTTTTTGCAAGCTCGTTTGGAAGAAGGCCTGGCGGCTTCGACCGTTCGTGGCTACTCCACGCTATTTCCACTTTTCACACCCCTGTCGATGGTGCTCTTCTGGGGCAGCACCCTCTCGTCTGGCGCTTTCCGCTGGCGGAGCGGGTTCGACCTGCTCTCAGGCGAACCAGTCCACCTTAAGGATTTGTCAATTGTGCTAGATTGGCTGTCGGTCCAACTTTCTCACACCTATCGGCTATTTCCATTCAGTTGTTAACTTGGAAGGCTGTTTTCTGGTGGCGGTAACATCTGGGCGTAGGGTCGGCGATTTACATGCTATGTCGTCCGACCGAGGCGCTGACTGTGTTTCACACTGATCGTGTCAGCATTAAGCCTCCGGATACTTACGCCCGAAGGTCGATCCGCTTTCCATGTGACAGCTCCTATCGAACTTCCCACTCTTACCCAGCCTTCCACATCGGGGACCTCTCCCTCTGAGCACTCACCCGTTGGATGTCCGTAAGGCGCTCAAAGTCTATATCAAAGCGAGCGCGGGGAATCCGTCACGGGTACCCAGCTGTTCTGTTGTTACGGTGGCGGGAAGGCTGGTGTGCCAGCGAGCAAGCAGACTTTGTCTCGCTGGCTCGTTTCGTGTATTTATGCCGCTTATCAGGCTAAGGGCAAGCCTCCCCCTGAGGGGTTGAAGGCTCACTCGGTCAGGACAGTCGCCGCATCAAAGGCTTTTGCATCGGCACTCCCCATTGAAGAGATCTGCTCTGCCGCTATTTGGAGCCGGTAAACGCGTTTATCACGGCACTATCAGCTCGATACACATTCCCGTGTCGTCGATGCGAGCTTTGGCCGTTCTGTTCTCTCCAGTGGACAGTGTCCTGCCACCCTGACCAAGTGAGTCTTGGTTTATTGGTTTGTTTATTGACGCTGCTGTACAATAATGTGTATTATTGATCTATCCGCTACTAGGAGCTAACTACCCCCTTTCGATTCTCTCCGGAGTTATTAAGTCGATTGTGAGCGGTTTTGACATTCCCCTACGGTGCTCACTAATCGACCGTGGTGGGTGGGGTTTTGTTGACATTAAGTACCATGTCGCGTTGCCTATGCTAAGCGTGGAGGTCGTCTTTGTGCACAATTCCTCCCTGTCAGTTCCCTCCCATAATGCCTCTACAGCAGAAGCATAACTGGGACAAGTGACAGCTGAGTGTTATGGCGTCTGTTCAATTTTTTTCCATGATACGATCGCTATTTGTGTGTGCTGGGACAGAATTCCCTCCTCCCTGGCCTCCGGTCTTTGGGAGTCTGTGTTTATGCATAATATGTACCCCAAGGACGATCTCTATGAAGAAGAATTAACCAAACCTGAAGAGGTTTTCAATTCTTCGAAGAGTGTCGTCCTTGGGGTAGGGCCTCCCGCCTCCCCGCAATTCTGTTCACTGATATATTCAGCAGAAGGAATGATGATACGGGCCTAGGAGCTTACCCAGTTGGTGCGCATGCACAACGGGAGGTAACTCTGTAGGTGGGGGCCGTATAATAAATAAAAAAGTTTATTTATTGTACAATCTTTTTATTCAAAAAACATTGATACAACTGTCACAGGACATTTTCAGTTTGGAAAATGCATAATATGTACCCCAAGGACGACTCTCTTCGAAGAATTGAAACCTCTTCAGGTTCGGTTAAGTTTGTTCAAGGGAATAAATTCAATTGTCAATTTGGCAGCCGTATGACTCATATTTTGTGATATTTACAATTATTTGATCTTTGCACTTTCACCATACTGTAAAAACTGGAATTTCTTTTGTCAATTTCTCATCCATTTCTTTTCATAATTTAATTAAATGTGTGCTTTTGTGGTCAGTGAGACTCTACACATGTTAATAACCTTGAATGTGAAGTTAAACCCCATGTCACCTCCACTTGTTTCAGCATTGTGGTGCTAGTGTCTGTACAGTGTGATACTGCCACCTATAGTCTGCGGCCTCAATACCATGTAGTATGAACTCTGTGGTTGATTTCAGTGGAGAGCAGCAGATCTTCAAGACAAAGTTCGTTGGCTGGGATGATGTGCTTCCTGTTGACTACACCCGCACTGCAGAGTCTGTCATTCGCAGAGGTGCCGATCTTAAGGTCAGTCCCCTCTACTGTGAAACAGAATTAATGATTGTGGTATTAATTAGTTAGTGTGGTATACAGTATGTATTTGTTACAGACAAGATTGTTGGAGTGAACAATGGCATGTACCGAAATATCTGAGTAAACATGGCAGTTTCAATGCAAAGTTCCTCAATAACCACTTGGCAACTTGCTTTTGCATGTTTGTTCAAACAAATGTTGATATATGAATTTGTAATGAGGTTTCCAATCTGATTTTCAAAGTGGCCACCATTTTGAAATATAGTTCTTTCTGCCTTTAAACTGCTAGGGGACTCTAAATATGTGTTTTGATTTTTGATGGTATTTTATACTTTTTCTATGACGTGATATTTTGGCCAGATGATTTAACTGTGACAAAGTATTTAAGACTACATGAAAGCATGAAAGCCACTGAAGGTGACTAATGTGATTTGTCATGACAACATGAACTTGCTTCATACACACATATTTTGTAAATAGTAATACAGAGTTTGTAAGTATTGATTAGTGTGCCTAGAGGTAACAGGGTTCAAACATACACAGCAGGGTGTGAGTTGAGCAATACATGTATTATTCCAGGTGATCATGGAGCGTGACAAGATGAAGACAGATCTGTCGGCACTCTTCATGCCAAGACAGCCTGGCATGTCTGCTGATGAAGCTGTGAGTTGGAACAAACAGTTCATAGTTCAAGTTTATGATTACTTCATCATGAGAAATGGTAGTCATTAATGGATGTTGATGCATCAGTTCCACAGACCCATAATATGCAGCATTAAAATTCATGTTAAGTAGACTGTGTCCAGTAGACTGACCTAGTCATTTGCACCCTTTAGGAGACACTGGCTTCTGAGTGGAATGAGGATCTGGATGGAATGGAGTCTTTTGTGTTGGAAGGCAAGAAGTTTGTGCGCCTCCCAGAGGAAGAACTAGGTGGGTGATGTTCCATAGATGGGGAAGCAGAGCCTTCTTGCATGACTGTACAGAGGTTATTGTGGACGCAGGTTTGAGTAATCTAATGCGTTACAATTCACTGTGCTCAAGTGTATCCCTTACTGGCATGCCAGAAACCAGTGGTTTAAATTTGTTCAGATGTTGGTTGGCTGCAAAATACTATTTAGTGTGTCAGTTTTTTACGCTGACTGGTATTGTGCACATACTACGATGTACACACTAAGAAATGTGTGTATGTGTCCAGCATTGTACTGATACTAAGAAATGTGTGTATGTGTCAAGCATTGTACACATACTAAGAAGTGTGTGTATGTGTCAAGCATTGTAGACAGTAAGAAGTGTGTGTATGTGTCAGGCATTGCTCAGATACTAAGAAGTGTGTATATGTCAGGCATTGTACAGATACTAAGAAGTGTGTATGTGTCAGTCATTCTGCAGATACTAAGATGTGTGTGTATGTGTCAGGCATTGTACAGATACTAAGAAGTGTGTGTATGTGTCTGGCATTGTACAGATACTAAGAAGTGTGTGTATGTGTCAGGCATTGTACAGATACTAAGAAGTGTGTGTATGTGTCAGGCATTGTACAGACACTAAGAAGTGTGTGTATGTGTCAGGCATTGTACAGACACTAAGAAGTGTGTGTGTGTGTCAGGCATTGTACAGACACTAAGAAGTGTGTGCATGTGTCAGGCATTGTACAGATACTAAGAAGTGTGTGTATGTGTCAGGCATTGTACAGATACTAAGAAGTGTGTGTACGTGTCAGGCATTGTACAGACACTAAGAAGCGTGTGTATGTGTCAGGCATTGTACAGATACTAAGAAGTGTGTGCATGTGTCAGGCATTGTACAGATACTAAGAAGTGTGTGTATGTGTCAGGCATTGTACAGATACTAAGAAGTGTGTGTATGTGTCAGGCATTGTGCAGACACTAAAAAGTGTGTGTATGTGTCAGGCATTGTACAGATACTAAGAAGTGTGTGTATGTGTGAGGCATTGTACAGATACTAAGAAGTGTGTGTATGTGTGAGGCATTGTACATATACTAAGAAGTGTGTGTATGTGTCAGGCATTGTACAGACACTAAGAAGTGTGTGTATGTGTCAGGCATTGTACAGATACTAAGAAGTGTGTGTATGTGTCTGGCATTGTACAGATACTAAGAAGTGTGTGTATGTGTCAGGCATTGTACAGACACTAAGAAGTGTGTGTATGTGTGAGGCATTGTACAGATACTAAGAAGTGTGTGTATGTGTCAGGCATTGTACAGACACTAAGAAGTGTGTGTATGTGTCAGGCATTGTACAGATACTAAGAAGTGTGTGTATGTGTCAGGCATTGTACAGATACTAAGAAGTGTGTGTATGTGTGAGGCATTGTACAGATACTAAGAAGTGTGTGTATGTGTGAGGCATTGTACATATACTAAGAAGTGTGTGTATGTGTCAGGCATTGTACAGACACTAAGAAGTGTGTGTATGTGTCAGGCATTGTACAGATACTAAGAAGTGTGTGTATGTGTCTGGCATTGTACAGATACTAAGAAGTGTGTGTATGTGTCAGGCATTGTACAGACACTAAGAAGTGTGTGTATGTGTCAGGCATTGTACAGATACTAAGAAGTGTGTGTATGTGTGAGGCATTGTACAGACACTAAGAAGTGTGTGTATGTGTCAGGCATTGTACAGATACTAAGAAGTGTGTATGTGTCAGGCATTGTACAGATACTAAGAAGTGTGTGTATGTGTCAGGCATTGTACAGATACTAAGATGTGTGTGTATGTGTCAGGCATTGTACAGATACTAAGAAGTGTGTGTGTATGTCAGGCATTGTACAGACAGGTGTGTTGAACATACACTAAGGTATGTAAGTGTTGATATACTAAACTGAGTGTGTTTGTATATCAGGTGTGTTGTACATACACTAAGGTATGTAAGTGTTGATATACTACACTGAGTGTGTTTGTATATCAGGTGTGTTGAACATACACTAAGGTATGTAAGTGTTGATATAGTACACTGAGTGTGTTTGTATATCAGGTGTGTTGAACATACACTAAGGTATGTAAGTGTTGATATAGTACACTGAGTGTGTTTGTATATCAGGTGTGTTGAACATACACTAAGGTATGTAAGTGTTGATATACTAAACTGAGTGTGTTTGTATATCAGGTGTGTTGTATACTAAACTGAGTGTGTTTGTATATCAGGTGTGTTGAACATACACTAAGGTATGTAAGTGTTGATATACTACACTGAGTGTGTTTGTATATCAGGTGTGTTGTACATGCACTAAGGTATGTAAGTGTTGATATACTACACTGAGTGTGTTTGTATATCAGGTGTGTTGTACATACACTAAGGCATGTAAGTGTTGATATACTAATAATAATAATAATAATAATGCACATTTATAATGCGCCTTTTCCACGCCCTTGGGTATGCTCAAAACGCTACAAAGATGAAGATGGGTGAAGTTATGAGAAGTATACTGAGAAAAGGTGGGTTTTCAGTTTTGCTTTAAAACTATCAAAACTGTCAGAGTCTTTGATGTCATATGGAAGAACATTCCAGAGGGCCGGTGCTGTGTAGGAGAAGCTGCGGTGTCCGAAAGATTTCGGTTTGTAGGAGGGTATCACAAGAAGATTCTGAGAGTTGGAACGGAGACTGCGGGCAGGTACATATGGGTGAAGCAGGTCAGAGAGGTAGGAAGGGGCCAAGCCATGGAGACATGGCTGAGTGTGTTTGCATATCAGGTGTGTTGAACATACACTAAGGTATGTAAGTGTTGATATAGTACACTGAGTGTGTTTGTATATCAGGTGTGTTGAACATACACTAAGGTATGTAAGTGTTGATATAGTACACTGAGTTGATATAGGTATGTACTGAGTGTGTTTTGTATATCAGGTGTGTTGAACATACAAGTGTTGATATAGTACACTGAGTGTGTAAGTGTTGATATACTACACTGAGTGTGTTTGTGTTGCAGGTGTGTTCTACAGTGATGACAGCTATGTGTTCCTGTGTCGGTACTGGGTGCCAGTGGAACTACCTGAAGGTGAGGAGGAAGATGAAGAGGATGTACCAGAGGATGAATACAAGTGTATTGTGTACTTCTGGCAGGGCCGGACTGCTTCCAACATGGGCTGGCTGACCTTCACCTTCAGGTAATACACTGTTTCCAAGGACCACCGCTTTTAGTTGTGAACCTCCTGTCATATCTCAAATTTGAGCTGGGATGCAGCTGTTGTTTGGTCAACACTCAGTAGCATTAATGGCTGTCACATTTCTGGCACCTTTTATCACATTGATTGATTAGATTATCAGATTTCTGATACCTTTGATCACACTGATTGATTAGATTCTCACATTTCTGGTACCTATATTTTATCACCAAAGGTTTTTCACTGACCCAGGAACAGATGCTTTGTATGGAAGGGGTAAAGGATGCACAAACTAATGTCTGTATTGTTTTGTTTCAGTTTACAGAAGAAGTTTGCAGCTCTGTTTCAGGACAAGTTGGAAGTGGTACGACAACATCAACAACAAGAGAATCTGAAGTTTCTATCCCACTTTAAGCGCAAGTTTGTCATCCGCACTGGCAAGCGTCCATTAAAAACACCAAACACGGAATCAGTGAAACCATCTACTGAGTTCTTCCAACTGAGAGCTAATGGCAGTCCTATCGCTACCAGATGTGTGCAGGTGAGCAGAGGGGTGTCATGGTTGTGTTACCCACCGAGTGAAAAGACAGGTGGTAAGATAGTCAGTCAATGCATAACACGTGCTCTACAAACCCGACCTTGTTTTTGTCATTTTGATTGGTTAACCAGCAAATGGACTGTATTGAGCTGGTTCATCAAAATCCATTGCTAACAATCAGGAGCACCTAGATCCCTCTGGTGTGGTCAGTTTTTCTTCTTTGAGGCTATCTCTTTCTCCCTTAAACTGACCACCTCCTAACTGATATTACCTAAAAGTGGATGTTTTCTGATTGGTGATGTTCTTTGAAAGGTTTTGTTATGTTGAAGGTTGTTTATTGAAAGGTGATATGTTCTGGAAGATGATACTTTTTGAAAAGTTTAAATGAAGGTAATGTTTCCTGGAGGGAGATAATTTATGAAAGATGTTATTTTTCGTTATCCTGACTCATGATCTTTTGCTTATCTCCCTTTCCCTTGCGAATGGTAGTGGAACACTTGAATCCCTTGAAGTTCCCGAAGCGGACGTACAATACTCACCCACGAGTTACCTCCCTTCCTCTTTCCCGCGCAAACGTACCATGTGACGTGCCCAGACTTGTCACTCTCTCCCTTTTTGCCCAAGCGGATGGTTGGGCGAGCACTGGAGTCCCGTATACGGCAATATTATTGTTTACTTTTAGGCCTATTCTTCTAAATTAAGCTGTGTATGGTTTTGATTATAATTACGATGTATTATTTGTAAAAAAATTGTTGAATTTTATTGACTTTGAGTCGTGTTTTCATCGTGTTGTAACCGTGTTTACAACTCATGAAATCGTGCTGTGTGTGTAAACACAGGTTGTCTCTGGCTGATCCTCACCCCCAATGTCCATCGTGTACAGATCCATGTTCATCCACCTTGCGTTGTATCTATTGTATTGATTTAACGGACTTACAATTTAATCAATATCTGTCTTATGTTTATAGACGTGCCATGGATCGGGTGAAAAAGTCATCTCTAGTCACATGTGATAAATGTGGAGATCAGCCTAAAAAACGTATGTTACTTGCTGCTGATGTTCATAATAGTGATGTGTTGCCTAGTACATTACAGGGCCAGTCTGCGGCAAAGGGGACTAAGAAGAGTTCGTCAACCTCGCAACCTACGCCGTCCCAGTCTAAGAAGAAGACGGTGTCCTCTTCTACTACGCAGAGGAAGTCTACGAGTACTAGATCTGAGGGCAAATCTACACGTGCTACAGCTGCTACGCAGAGATCTTTCAACGAGGAGATCGTACCACCTCATGAGAAAGACGTGTTTGACGACCCCCCTATACTACTACCTGAGGTATCGATGACATCTACGACGCAGTCGATGTCTACTACTACCATATCATCACTCATGAATGTCACAGCAGGCCAGCTGTCGGACATAAGACCTCTTCCTTCGAGGACAGAAGTTGAGGCACAGAAAACAACATCGCAGCCGATTCAACAGATGCAGAACTTCGACCCGCGGGGGAGTTCATGACGCAGTTTACCAACAAGATGATGGCTATGATGGAGCAGACATTCCAGCAAGAATCAAGGAAGACACAACAGTCTGCCAACATTGTGCGCAAACCCACAGGCCTGCACGAATCTACACCCATCAGAGCTACAACTGCAGTTGACGTTGGCGAACACACTCCTCCGCGAAGGGCTCCACAACCGGACGACTCCATCATACTACAAGATGATATGCAGTACATGTTCACGAACCCTCAAGGTTCGCGTACCTCTAAGAAGCCTGCCTCTACGCCTAGCCCATCCAGATCAAGATCACCCCGCAGACGTTCGCGAAGGCACAGCTCACCACAGGGAGGTTCGCGAAGAGGTTCCAGAGAGAGACATTCGCGAAGGGAACGCTCCCACGACAGACGTTCGCACAGGGAGGAATCATCAGCTGCAGGTTCGCGAACCCAGGATGAAGGTTCATGAAGGGATACAGGCTCACACAGAGAGACGTCAACTAGACACAGCTCCTTGGCTCAAGACATTGCGGACTCCGTCTTCTCAGACTCCCGAAGTAACGGCTTGGATTGCTAGCGGGTTGAGCCTAGAGTCTCCCTCTAAAGATAGGAACGAAGTTGACACCTACTTGATGAAGGATGATGACTTCGACTCCGTCACAATCCCACCGATCGAGCCTATATCCAGCGTACCAGACAGCCTGTGCACAGCCTTCGCGAAGGCTTCCAAGTCCCAGACGCAGCAGCTACCATCTTTTAATAAGAGGAAATTCCCCCTACATCACATGGAACCATTTGTAAAGGCGCCAGAGTGGGACGACAACATCAAGCTGGTCAATGATGCCAAGACTAAGATGTATAAGGTGGATGATAAGAAGTTATCACAAGTAGTTATAGCTTCTAGAAGATCTTTCTTCGGACTAGGAAGATCTAGAGCCATCAACGAAGCGTTGATACAGAAATTCCAGAATTCCACTACGGAACAGGGTAAAGTGATCTACTCGGCCCTCGTCACACAAAAGAAGGACCAGTTCTTCTTATCGGACCACCTCACAGCTATTTCGACGGGAATCACCTTAATACGTAGACAGGGTCTACTGGCGTCTTGCTCCTGGAATGACAGATTTACGCAGCCACTACTACGAGCTCCATGGGAGGCGCCTACCATCTTTGGAGGTCTATTGGACGATGCAGCCAAACAAGCTACACAAGACTCCAGAGAGGTGATGATGATCAAGACCATAGAGACCTTGGCCAACGTCATCCGCCATACATCCCAGAGATACAACAAGTCTAAGTACGCTGGGATACAGAGAGCTAAAGACAGAAAGTACTCAAGCTCCAGAGGCGGGAAGGACTCTTTTCGTCGCCCTTCAGGCAACTACAGAGGAAACTCAGGAAGAGGCTTCCAGAGGTACCAGACGCTGATGCCAGGGGTCGGAACGACTGGAGTCTTCCACCCCCAGCCGTTCCTGTAGAACTATCGAGAGTGGGTGGACGTCTACAAAGGTACTGGGAAAATTGGGGAATTTTAAGAGACGACTACGCCTCTCAAGTACTAAGAGAAGGGTACAAAGTACAACTGAAAGATGCTCCTCCGCTAACCCTCAGCCCGATGGTCTTCAAGTACGCAGAGGAGCAGTCAGACAGATTACAAGAAGCCATCAACGCACTTCTCTCAAAAGATGCAGTAGAGATAATAGACCAGAATCATCTCACCCCAGGCTTCTATTTCCCAATTTTTCTAGTACCAAAGAAGAACTCCTTAGAGAAGTTCAGACTGATTTACAACATGCTCAAATTCAACAGAGACTACCTACTGAAACCAGAGAGGTTCAGCATGATCCACCTACCGCAACTGAAACAACTCGTCCGTCCAGCAGACTACATGGCCAGCATAGACTTACAGGATGCGTACCTGCACATCCCGATACATCAAGAATCAAGAAAGTATCTTCGATTCCTGTTCAAAGGGCAACACTACCAATGGAGCGTGCTACCGTTTGGAATATCTTCGGACGCGTGGCTATTCACACGAATAACCAAGCCTATAGTCGCATACCTTCATCAACGAGCTCTACGCAATGCCTTCTACCTGGACGACGGGATTCAGGTCCACCAAGATGCAAGTCTACTCAGACTACAACTGAACTTCACGATCAAGTTGCTCACTCAACTGGGATGGTTGGTGAACCTAAGGAAGTCAGAATTGAAACCGAAACAAGATCTACAATTCCTGGGGATAAGATTCATCACTACAGAGAATGGTATCGTCGTCCCAGAGGATCGATGGGTCAAGATACAAGCCATGATTCCGCCAGCACTCACCTGTCCGTTAACACTACGATCATGGCAAGTTCTACTCGGTCTACTAACCTCGGCGCAAGACTTGACGCACATAGGAAGGTTACAGCTAAGACCGCTACAACGGTTCCTCATAAAGCATCTGGACAGTGTCGACCCGATCCTGCTGCCCGAAAACCTCAAGAGGTATCTACTATGGTGGACACACAGGTCGAATGTCTGCGAAGGAGTCTATTTACAAGAGCCGGCCTTCGAGACACACCTCTACGAGGATGCCTCGTTGCAAGGATGGGGAGCACATCTCAACGATCAAGTAGCGTCGGGAAAGTGGTCTCATACAGAACAAAAGCTCCACATCAATCTACTAGAGATGAAAGCAGTGATCAACGCCGTACAACTATGGGCGAGCTTGCTGAACAACAAGATGTTGATGATCCACACAGACAACTCCACAGTGGCGTTCTCTATAAATCGGCAAAGGTCCACAAGATCACCAAGCCTACTGCAACTCACATTCCAGTTGTTCCAGATCACGCAGAAAGCAGACATCTGGATAAAGGCGTGTCACATACCCGGAGCCAAGAACGTACTGGCAGACGCTCTCTCAAGACCACTACACCTGTCACCAACGGAATGGATGCTCCATCCCGAAGCGTTTCGGAACATAAGGGAAATAGCATTCCCTTCCATAGACCTGTTCGCCACGAGGTTCAACAAACAACTGCAGACGTTCGTCTCACCAGTTCCAGATCCTCAAGCCAGGGCAACAGATGCACTGAGCATGTCGTGGGAAGGACTAAACGGCTACGCTTTTCCACCCCCGATACTACTGCCAAAAGTACTGATCAAGATCAAACAGACACAGACGCTCCAACTGACTTTGATTGCGCCTTACTGGCCAGCGAGAGCATGGTTTCCAGATCTACTAAAAAACCTAGGAAGCCCAGTAATCAAGCTTCCAGATTCGCCGAACCTACTGATAGATCCGCACTCCAAGCAAGTCCACGGAACCCAACAGTGTTCCAGCTACATGTGTGGACCGTATCAAAATGTGTTTGAAGAAAAGAGGATACTCCGCCAGAGCAGCCAAAGCAGTAACACTAGCGTTACGCAGATCGACTTGCAACTTATACGACGATAAATGGCTGAAGTTTGAAACTTACGCAAGGCGGAAAGGCTTCACAGCGGTAATAGCTACGCATCCTCAAGTGGCGGAATATCTATGACATCTGAGACAGACTAGACATCTAAAAGGTTCGACTCTATCGACTTACCTGGCCGCTATCAGTACAGTGATTACCATGAAAACAGGCATCAAGTTGACGAAAGTACCAGAATTACTTGCCCTACTGAGATCATTCAAGTTGGAAGACCAACAAAAGAAATTCAGAGCCCCAGCCTGGGACCTGAATGTAATTCTGCATCATCTTACCAGTGATGTCTACGAACCACTAGACCAGATCACGATCGAGCTGTTAACACAGAAAACGCTGTTCCTGCTAGCGTTAGCCACTGCAGCTCGCATATCTGAGATTCATGCGCTGGACTTTGGTCGAACGACGTTCGACAGAGGGCATAATAATACAGTTCATCTAGGACTTAGATGGGACTTTATTGCCAAGAATCAACTACCTGGTCAACCAGATAGACAATTCCATGTACCAGCGCTGTCTACAGTCCTCGGCCCACAGAGCCTTGAAGATATATCTTCAAAAGACTAAAACGAGGGGAAGGAAATTCAAGCGCCTATTCATCCCATTATCGGGGCGGTGGGGTAGCCTAGTGGTTAAAGCGTTGGCTCGTCACGCCGAAGACCCGGGTTCGATTCCCCACATGGGCACAATGTGTGAAGCCCATTTCTGGTGTCCCCCGCCGTGATATTGCTGGAATATTGCTAAAAGCGGCGTAAAACTAAACTCAGTCAGTCAGTCAGTCATCCCATTATCAACTGAGACATCAACTGAACCTACTGATAGATCCGCACTCCAAGCAAGTCCACGGGAACCCAACAGTGTTCCAGCTACATGTGTGGACCGTATCAAAATGTGTTTGAAGAAAAGAGGATACTCCGCCAGAGCAGCCAAAGCAGTAACACTAGCGTTACGCAGATCGACTTGCAACTTATACGACGATAAATGGCTGAAGTTTGAAACTTACGCAAGGCGGAAAGGCTTCACAGCGGTAATAGCTACGCATCCTCAAGTGGCGGAATATCTATGACATCTGAGACAGACTAGACATCTAAAAGGTTCGACTCTATCGACTTACCTGGCCGCTATCAGTACAGTGATTACCATGAAAACAGGCATCAAGTTGACGAAAGTACCAGAATTACTTGCCCTACTGAGATCATTCAAGTTGGAAGACCAACAAAAGAAATTCAGAGCCCCAGCCTGGGACCTGAATGTAATTCTGCATCATCTTACCAGTGATGTCTACGAACCACTAGACCAGATCACGATCGAGCTGTTAACACAGAAAACGCTGTTCCTGCTAGCGTTAGCCACTGCAGCTCGCATATCTGAGATTCATGCGCTGGACTTTGGTCGAACGACGTTCGACAGAGGGCATAATAATACAGTTCATCTAGGACTTAGATGGGACTTTATTGCCAAGAATCAACTACCTGGTCAACCAGATAGACAATTCCATGTACCAGCGCTGTCTACAGTCCTCGGCCCACAGAGCCTTGAAGATATATCTTCAAAAGACTAAAACGAGGGGAAGGAAATTCAAGGGCCTATTCATCCCATTATCAACTGAGACATCAACTGAAGTCTCAAGAACGACAATATCGTTCTGGATGAGAGCCGTTATATTGAGAGCCTACAAAGCAGCAGGTCTAGAACCTCCTAGAGCTTCCAACCCACACGAATTTAGAGCACTGGCTTCAACACTAGCTCTACACGGAAATTGCTCTATACCGACAATAATGGAGGACTGCTTCTGGAAGTCGGACACGGTGTTTGCCAACCACTACCTCCGAGACATAGCCACTGAAGATGTCTCAGGCATTCACCAATTTGGGCCTCTCGTTGTAGCACAGCAACTAACGGTTCCTCAAAGGCGCTGAGTTGAAATCTCACCCTTTATCACGTTGACTTGTAGATGACTTTTACTAGGAAAAAGTATTAGTTTGAAAGTCCATGCACACAGTCTAGGACAGACTAGCATGAGTGATTAAGATCCTGTGCGGGTAATGACCTTACCTGCACATAAAGGGGTCGCAACTCATTTATGATTAAGACCTTATCAAAATCCATGGGTTGTTATAAGATATCTAGTACAGGAGAATACTAGTTTATCTAAAACCACATGAATAAGCATGATTCAACTTGTCTGAGATTGAAGTAAGACAAGAAGTGGTCCCCCGAGTTACTACGCAAGTTGGAAGAATAGGACCACGGAAATGCCGTTTGCAGTTCCCATGGGGGGATACAGGACGTATCTAAGGACAGCTGTTGAATCCAGTTGCTTGACCCACCTCCTATTCCGACAGATTCTATAAGCAAAAGATCATGAGTCAGGATAAGGAAAAATATGTAATTTTTTAAGTAAAATTGATATTTTATACTTATCCTGACTCATGACGAACAAGCCCTCCCAACCTCCCCGTTGAAGACACTTTCGATTTCACAGCAGATCCAAGTGCATGGGCGAAAATTATAAGGAGAGAGTGACAAGTCTGGGCACGTCACATGGTACATTTGCGCGGGAAAGAGGGAGGGAGGTAACTCGTGGGTGAGTATTGTACGTCCGCTTCGGGAACTTCAAGGGATTCAAGTGTTCCACTACCATTCGCAAGGGAAAGGGAGATAAGCAAAAGATCATGAGTCAGGATAAGTATAAAATATCAATTTTACTTAAAAAATTACATGTTTTTTGAAAGGTGATGTTTCTGTGGATGATGAAAGAAGATATTTACATTCTCTTTGTTTTGCAGATTGCACCAGCCTCAGCGTCTCTTCTGAATTCCTGTTTTTGGTAAGTTAATAGTAGAAAATACTGGAAAGACAGACAAACATTTCTGTATTAACTCAACAAATAGAACATGTCTGAATGATTCATTATAAGAAAATAAATGAACAGTTTAAACGTCATGATGCAGGAGGAGAAGAGTTCCATTGTCTTGTAGATTGTTGTTTCAACTCTGAAGGGAGTGAACCAAGGTTTCTCATCCCCACTCACAAATCCTTACAAATACCTTTTTGGCTCAGCTTCAGACAGATCTAGAACCCGGATATTTAGACATTTATTGGTGACTCCTGCAACATCATATTTCAGTTAAGGTTATGGTCATATTTGAGGTCATTTTGAAATTTAGTTGCTTCATTCTTTTTCTTGAATGTAATGCAGATATTATTGACATCAGAAAATATTCTTAACTAGACCTATGTCACATGGACCTGGCTAATTCTTTCAGAGCATTGGAAAGTCAGTGACCAGTCTGCTTCTGTTGTTGCTCATATTTGCATCTCTAGTTATTATGTTCATGTGACTTTTTCTGCATGTTTTTGTGAAATGTATATCTTTTTCTTATGCGTATTGATATTTAGCCATTTAGCCATTGACATTAATGTCTTGTTGCCATGTGCTGACTGTAGATTGCCTACTCTGGAAACTACAGGGTGGGCAAACTTCACTGTTGGCAGTAAGAGATAGAACCCTCAGTATGGTAGAGTGTCTGTTTGTTTCAGCTACATTCTCATGGTTCCCTTTGATAGTGAGGACATGCATGGCATTGTGTATGTGTGGGTTGGGATGAAGGCAGACCACGATGAAGCCAAGTTGGCAGAGCAGATTGCCTACATGATGTACAAGGTAAGAGAGTTAACAACTATACCTACCACGGTAATGGACAAGGTAGGCGAGTTAACCATTGTACTCACTGAGGTAATGTACAAGGTAGGGGAGTTAACCACTGCATTCACTGAGGTAATGTACAAGGAAGGGGAGTTGACCATTGTACTCACTGAGGTAATGTACAAGGTAGGGGTGTTAACCACTGCGTTCATTGAGGTAATGTACAAGGTAGGGGAGTTAACCACTGCATTCACTGAGGTAATGTACAAGGTAGGCGAGTTAACCACTGCATTCACTGAGGTAATGTACAAGGTAGGCGAGTTAACCACTGCATTCACTGAGGTAATGGACAAGGTAGGCGAGTTAACCACTGCGTTCACTGAGGTAATGTACAAGGTAGGGGAGTTAACTACGGCATACAATGAGGTAATGTACAAGGTAGGAGAGTTAACCATTGTACTCACTGAGGTAATGTACAAGGTAGGGGAGTTAACCACTGCATTCACTGAGGTAATGTACAAGGTAGGGGAGTTAACCACAGTTAACCAATCGTAAGGTTGTACAACCTTACTCGGGACTGATAAAACCCCGTATTTCCCTCGACACAATGTGTACATTACCTCAGTGAATACTGTGTACAAGGTAGGGGAGTTAACCACAGTATTCACTGAGGTAATGCACATGGTTGTCAAGTAAACAACTGTAGTTATTTTGTTATTGTACAACTGTCATTAGCAACACAGTGTAAGGGCTTTAGCTGTTGTCATTAGCTTCGTATATTGATAATGTACATGGCTGGTGAGTTTACCAATGTTAATGAGTTGACCCCAGTTAACCACCAGGATAATGTACAAAGATACCCAACTGCTCTAATGCTGGAAGTGATGTATCATAAAATCATCTAATAGCATTTATGCTGCTGCCAAACTTTATAGAGCAAAAGACAAAGGTGATGTTAAAGCTTAACAGCATCCATTAGCTCAACATTAACCATTTACCAACACTCCTATTTATGTTACCCTTTTAGTTCAAGGTGATGAACTATGAGTATGTTTACTGTATGCAATCACTCTATGCAGGATGAATACACCATCCAGATGATCAACGAAGGTGAAGAGCCAGAGAACTTCTTCTGGGTCGGCATTGGTGGTCAACGGCCATATGATCACGTGTGTACATGCTTGTTATCACTTTACCGTCATCATGATGCTTTCTGTTCAAATATGTTACAATGTATTTAGTCAGAAATATGAGTACAAAACTATCACCATACTATTAAGCAGCGTGCACTGAGGGGTGAAGCGGGGGGGAGATACATTGGAGGTTAAGCTGACATTGTATCATCGAGGCTTTGTGTATCCAATAACTATAGTACTTTTGTATTTGTGAATGAAGTTTGAAGAGTGACATCAGCATATGCATAGAGCTGGAGTGCTCATTTGTGTGACCTTTGTATGAGGTCAAGGTTGGAAGAAGTAAACGTAGCAAAGGTCAATTTCTGAATTATATATTAAATATCCAAGCATTTTCTGATCAGTTATGATGGCATTGAAGTAACTAAGGGTAATATTTGTCACATGTCATGGTTGTGTCATTTGTCACACTGAAGGTCACTCATTCAAGAAATGACTTATAAACAGTTTCACTTTGAGAGTATTTTAGTCATAGTTTTCATATTTGTCACATGAACAAAGTTTTCAGCAATTTATATGTGATTTAACTACATTGAAAATAATGAAGTTGACATCACTGAAGGCAGTATTGTGCTATATCCTGAGCAACATAATAGGAATTAATTCAACTTTCTGTTACATGACCAATAATTTCAAATTAAATGTGACTTAAGTGGCAATTACAGTCAAGGTCACTATGTAATATGAACATCATGGAGAGTTCGTGAACACAAAATCTTGGGATTTTCCACTTCAATTTGTTAATGTGCAGGAAGTTTTAGAAACCAGAGAGCTTAGGTCAGTTGAAAGAGCTGTTAGCTAAATTATTTACCCAAGTTTAGAATGTGTTAATTAGAGAATACATTTTGTAGCATCTGATTAATTTGCATGTAGAAAGTATTTTGAGTTTCCAAGCTATGTATTAATGCTTAAATGAGTTATCAAGAGAATTTCATGAAGTGACTGACTTATATTTTTTAGATCTGGTGGGCTACTGGTGCCTTTTGGTTGTTTTGGATTTCGGAATGAAATGTTTTTTTGCGTTTCCATGGCAACAAGTTTGACATGGACTGAAATTGGTAGTAGTGCTCTTTTCTGGAGCAGAACTTTAAAACCGTTCACTATTTCTTCACCAAACGTGGCACATAGATAGGTCTGGTGGGGTACTGGTGCCTTTTGGTAGGTTTGGATTTCTGAATACAATATTTTTGGCGTTTCCATGGCAACAATTTCACTTTGACTGTTATTGGTGGTGGTGCTCTTTTCCGACCAGAACTTAAAAACTGTTCACTGTTTCATCACCAAATTTCATACATAGGTAGGTCTAGTGGTGAACTGGTACCTTTTGGTAGTTTTGGATGTCTGAATAATTTTTTGGGGCGTTTCCATGGCAACAATTTTGGCTTCAACTGAATTTGGTGGTAGTGCTCTTTTCTGGAGGAGAGTTCGAAATCTTTCAGTACTCTTTCCACTTTGCTATATACACGCCAAAACATTTGACATAATCATAACTCGTAGACATATTCATGAAGAGTATTTTGCCATTGCGGTGGATATTGATGACTTTGTCTTCTTATTCAGGATTATGGTTACAATGTAGTGGAGATTTTTTTTTTATTCTTTAAATTATTAGTGCTGACAATAATTGTTTTATATTTTACCACATCTATTTACACATGATTTTCTTCACAATTCAGGATGCTGAGTTCATGAAGTACTGTCGCCTGTTTCGATGCTCCAATGAGAAGGGATACTTCACTGTATCAGAGAAATGTGCAGACTTTTGCCAGGTAGTATTTCCTGAAACTTGATGAAAGTTGTCTCACATAAGTAAGTTGTGCATTGTCAGCTAGGTCATATGCATGGTCTAGAATTCTGAGAAATCGTACATGTTCAGCTTATGAGCTACACTTTAATTTTGGCTTCTTCAGGAATTGACTTAACTGATTTAAGTATCATATTTTTCAATGTAAGTTTGTAGGACCAGATAAGACTGTTGTGTATTTTGACTAGGATGATCTGGCTGATGATGATGTCATGATTCTGGATAATGGAGAGCAAGTCTTCCTCTGGGTTGGCAAGAAGACCAGTGATGTGGAGATCAAACTAGCATTCAAAAGTGCACAGGTAAGATTCTTTTCTTTTGGAGACCTGGGTTAGGATATGGCCCAGACCTGGCTATTTACATCCATACGTGATATAGTTGATGTTTATGTTTGTTTTGCATCACTGTTGTCAGCATTACATCACTGTTGTCAGCATTACATCGCAGTTGTCAGTGTTACATCGCTGTTGTCAGCTTTACATCGCTGTTGTCAGTGTTACATCGCTGTTGTCAGCATTGCATCACTGTTGTCAGTGTTACATCGCTGTTGTCAGTGTTACATCACTGTTGTCAGCATTACATCGCTGTTGTCAGTGGTACATCACTGTTGTCCGTGTGACGTCAGTGTTCTCAGCATTACATCGCTGTTGTCAGCATTACATCAGTGTTGTCAGTGTTACATCGCTGTTGTCAGCATTACATCGCTTTTCTCAGTGTTATATCACTGTTGTCAGCATTACATCGCTCTTGTATGTGTTACATCACTGTTGTCAGCATTACATCGCTTTTGTCAGTGTTACATCACTGTTGTAAGCATTACATCGCTGTTGTCGGTGATACATCACTGTTCTAAGCATTACATCGCTGTTGTCAGCATTACATCACTGTTGTCAGTGTCACATCACTGTTGTCAGCATTACATCGCTGTTGTCAGCATTACATCTCTGTTGTCAGTGGTACATCACTGTTCTCAGCATTACATCGCTGTTGTCAGCATTACATCGCTGTTGTCAGCATTACATCAATGATCTCAGTGTTACATCGCTGTTGTCAGCATTACATCAATGTTCTCAGTGTTACATCGCTGGTGTCCATATTACATCGCTGTTGTCAGCATTACATCACTGTTGTCAGCATTACATCGCTGTTGTCAGTGTTACATCGCTCTTGTCAGCATTACATCACTGTTGTCAGCATTACATCACTGTTGTCCATGTTACATCGCTGTTGTCCATGTTACATCGCTGTTGTCAGTGTTACGTCACTGTTGTCAGCATTACATTGCTGTTGTCAGTGTTACATCACTGTTGTCAGTGTTACATCAGTGTTGTCAGCATTACATCGCTGTTGTCAGTGTTCCATCACTGTTGTCAGCATTACATCGCTGTTGTCAGTGTTACATCACTGTTGTCAGCGTTACATCACTGTTGTCAGCATTACATCACTGTTGTCAGCATTACATCGCTGTTGTCAGTGGTACATCACTGTTGTCCGTGTGACGTCAGTGTTCTCAGCATTACATCGCTGTTGTCAGCATTACATCAGTGTTGTCAGCATTACATCGCAGTTGTCAGTGTTACATCACTGTTGTCAGCATTACATTCCTGTTGTCCATGTTACATCACTGTTGTCAGCATTACATTGCTGTTGTCAGTGTTATATCACTGTTGTCAGCATTACATTGCTGTTGTCCATGTTACATTGCTGTTGTCAGCATTACATGGCTGTTGTCAGTGTTATATCACTGTTGTCAGCATTACATCGCTGTTGTCTGTGTTACATCGCTGTTGTCAGCATTACATCACTGTTGTCAGCGTTACATCACTGTTGTCAGCATTAAATCGCTGTTGTCAATGCTACATCACTGTTGTCAGCATTACATCACTGTTGTCAGTGTTACATCACTGTTGTCAGCATTACATCACTGTTGTCCATGTTACATCACCGTTGTCAGCATTACATTGGAGTTGTCAGTGTTACATCACTGTTGTCAGCATTACATCGCTGTTGTCCATGCTACATCACTGTTGTCAGCATTACATTGCAGTTGTCAGTGTTACATCACTGTTGTCAGCATTACACCGCTGTTGTCAGTGTTACATCACTGTTGTCAGTGTTACATCACTGTTGTCAGCATTACATCACTGTTGTCCATGTTACATCACTGTTGTCAGCATTACATCGCAGTTGTCAGTGTTACATCACTGTTGTCAGCATTACATCGCTGTTGTCCATGCTACATCACTGTTGTCAGCATTACATTGCAGTTGTCAGTGTTACATCACTGTTGTCAGCATTACATTGCTGTTGTCCATGTTACATCACTGTTGTCAGCATTACATTGCAGTTGTCAGTGTTATATCACTGTTGTCAGCATTACATTGCTGTTGTCCATGTTACATTGCTGTTGTCAGCATTACATGGCTGTTGTCAGTGTTATATCACTGTTGTCAGCATTACATCGCTGTTGTCTGTGTTACATCACTGTTGTCAGCATTACATCGCTGTTGTCAGTGTTACATCACTGTTGTCAGCATTACATCGCTGTTGTCCATGCTACATCACTGTTGTCAGCATTACATTGCAGTTGTCAGTGTTACATCACTGTTGTCAGCATTACATTGCTGTTGTCCATGTTACATCACTGTTGTCAGCATTACATTGCAGTTGTCAGTGTTATATCACTGTTGTCAGCATTACATCGCTGTTGTCCATGTTACATCACTGTTTTCAGCAGTACATCACTGTTGTCAGTGTTACATCACTGTTGTCAGCATTACATCACTGTTGTCAGCATTACATCACTGTTGTCAGTGTTACATCAGTGTTGTCAGCATTACATCACTGTTGTCAGCATTACATCACTGTTGTCAGCATTACATCGCTGTTGTCAGCATTACATCACTGTTGTCAGTGTTACGTTACTGTTGTCAGTGTTTCGTAACTATTGTCAGTGTTGACGAAAATTGTCAGTGTAACATAACTGTTGTCAGTGTTGCATCAGTATGGTTAGTGTTACGTAACTGTTGTCCGTGTTAAATCACTGCTGTCAGTGTTACATAACTGTTGTCCGTGTTTCATAACAGTTGTCAGTGTTACGTAACTGTTGTCAGTGTTGCGTCAGTGTGATCAGTGTTACGTAACTTGTCAGTGTTGCATCACTGTGGTCAGTGGTACATCATTGCTGTCAGCATTACATCACTACATCCCGGCAAATAGCTGCACCATCGTTGATGTGGCAGCCAAGTTGACTACATTTTTCTTCATATCAAGGTTACAAATTACATACATTGTTGGTATTTTGCAGCTTGGGTTCAGAGCAACCCTAGCACTGTGTTTTTGTGGGGTTATTGGTCTCTTTTATCACAATGTATTTCAGTAGGCATATGAAAGAGCTACCATTCAGAATTTACACATCATCAGAATCTGTTGGGTTAGAACATCATAAGAATCATTGAAATGTCACCATACCATCAAACTGGGTATTGCTTCTCCCATTCAGAAGGCCCACTGTTATGAATATTCAGATAGGTAACTAAATAAATATGTGATATATTTCCAGGTTTACATCCAACACATCCGGATTAAGCAGCCTGAGCGTCCCCGCAAACTTCTGCTGGCCATGAAGTACAAGGAACACAAGAAGTTCACCAAGTGTTTCCATGGCTGGGGCAAGTACAAAGAGGTGCTCAAGTAACTGCCTACAACCAGCCACACACTGTGCAATATCAGTTTCAAGAGGGGTGACACAGGCGTAACAAGCATATCCAAAGATGAGATCATTGAGGAATGATGTGATGTAGTGAGGCAGGTTGGGTACCTGTTGGTGTAATGGAGGCTACGTGATGTGGATCAATTGCAGTGTCTCGGGAAGAAGCTCAAGTGAATTATTTCCAGCTGGACAGGAGCTGAACATGTGTTTGTCTATTTTTAATTACTGTGTCTAAGTAATGAAGATTTTGGAGCCTTTGACTTGTTTTTGGAGTGTATGTTTGCTTCAGTAAGAATCAGAATACTTTTTGTGTTCATTAGGTTGGAAAGGCTGTTTTATTTGGCACCAGAGACACAATCCTTGTAATTATTCTCATCAGCAGACAAATCAGGCAGTAGCTGAAACCTGTTACAAGTGTCATCAATATATAACATTCTTATCAGTAGCCACAGCTTGTAGATTAGTACATATTATGGCCACGCCTCCCAGCTGTGCAGATGTCATTGTTCCCATTACTGCTATACTCTGATGTAGAAGTGGGATGTATATCTACCATTGTTATGGATGAGTCATCTGTCTTTGCTATGTGATTACCATTCCCAACTGTCGGTCATGCAATCCTTTTAGTTCCTGAAGTCAGTTTCCCACCTGCCAATTGGGCATCTATGTACAGGTGTGTACCCAGCTGCCTCATCCTCAGTTCAGCCGCTTCTGATCACTGGTCCACGAGCCAAGGAAACATTTGGGACACTGCTATAGATGTACTGCTACTTTGTATGCACTATGTTGAAACAGTTTGGAAATATTATTGACATATTTATTCCTGTTTTTACCTTCCCCCGGTGTGACACACTGCTTCCAAAGTGGAAATGTATCTTTCCTGTATCTACCTGTAGGACATTCCCTCTTACTCTTCTTTATATTTGTCAGCAAGTGAGTTTGTATCTGAGAGAGAATGGTGTGCTGTATGAGAGACTTTGGTCATTGTGTGTGGTTGTTGGCTTTCTATTGGAATGTTTACAAGCTTATTAAAATATGCCCTATTTATGTACATATGAAGGTGTTGTTGTCCAATCCATCTATAAGAGACCGCCGCCTCTGTGGTCAAATGGAAGTGCCGGCTAGGGGTTCAATCCCAAACCTCATCATACCAAGAAACATTAAAAGACGCCAGCCTGGTCCTCATCATTAAGGGGATAAAACAAGGATATGTTGGATGGATCAGAGTCGGTACTTTACGTGTGAGTTTGGTATCCATGGTGGTGTTGCATGGCATCTCAATGGACTAGGACCAGACACATGTGTACACACACACTAGAATCTGTACGTTACTAAGAAAGTGTAATCCCAAATATGTTACATTTGACCTCTTTCTAACTGTCAGTGTATTCATAGTTTGGCCATGGGAGCCTTGCTAATCTTAACTGATCAGAGTTAAAAGTATGTGATCTACACTTGCAGTCGTCAGACTTCCATTTGGTGTAAGCCATAGTGACTGAGTTGGTCAGATCGCTGACTTTGTGTGCTGGTGATTAGGTGCCTGACTGAGTGTGTTTTATGGCTGATGATTAATATATACTAAGCAGCAAAAGAAACGTCAGTTTGGAAGTTTTCGTCGCAGAAATGGATAACTGTAAACTCATTTTATGTTTTGATTGTATATTTTTGACAACATCTCCAACTTTACCTGAGCAAAGACATTCCTTCCTAAACTCAGAATGGAACCAAGAATATAGTCTCAAAAACGCAACCTGATCTCGGAGATAGTACAGTGTTCTTCATGTTTTTCATGCAACTCATGCTACACGTGCTGTTCACAAGGACCAGCCCTATAAAATGCACCCCCACACCAGGTTGAAACATTCACATTACGTTAGCAGGATGCCAAGACTCACGACAGCTCAGAGGAACCAGGCACTAGGAAGACTTGAAGCTGGCCACACGGCACAAGCCGTTGCCAATCGCTTCCAGGTCAAAGTTCGGACCATCTACAGGCTGCAGCAATGTTTCCGGGCCACCAACACCACAAATGATCGCCCCCCCGTACTGGCAGACCAAGGGTAACCACAAAACAACAAGACCGTCGACAGCATGTACAGAATCCCTTCATGCAGGCATCCGAAACAGCACGCCAGACAGTGGGAACGTGCGGACGACCAATCAGTACTGATACAGTGCGCCGACGTCTTGACCTATCCTCACCCCTCGTCATCGGCGTGAACGTCTACAGTTTTCTCTACAGCACCAAAACTGGTGATACAGGCAATGGAGAACTGTTCTGTTCACAGATGAGAGTCGGTACTGCGTGTCAAACCTGCCAATGGGATGCGGTGAGCGAGCTGCCTAAGGCGCCAGGCTAGTGATCCAGCGAGGTTGAGGTGTCGGGATCGAGCCCACCTGTGACCGGGTGTAAAAACCTTGGAGTCAACTTTGTGTCCACACTCTTTCAGTATTGTCACAACCCCTAGTGTGCAGTACATATCCCTGTGCACTTAAAAGAACCCACGTATCCATTAGCATATGACCAGATGGTGGCTACATGAATACGTGCAAACACCTAGTTGCGGGTACAGCAACGTGCAGTGAACTGTGACTATGTGTCCCAGTCCACCCAGCTGTGAATGGGTACCTCATTAGGATGAGAAAGCCACAATAACTCGGTGCGCCTAGTGGCTGCAAGAGTTGTATACTCCCCAGGGAGTTGAGATTGATAACACGTTGTGCCGTTGAGATTGATATCCAATGTTTGTGGGGAAAAAATACCAGCGCCTTGAGCAAGCACTAGTTGCCTGGATATGTGCGCTATAGAAATATCGTACAATAATAATAATGAACTGCAGATGGCAGAACAAGAATATGGCGACGATGTGGCCAGCGTTACTCAGACCAATGTGTTATGGAAAGAGACTCATGGGGAGGTGCAAGCATCATGGTATGGGGTGGAATAGGCCTGAACCAGAGAGTGGGTCCTGTGGTGTTCCAGAACCTTGGTCCAGGGAGAGGAGGCGGCATCACAGCGGTGCGCTACATCAACCAAGCTCTCAGACCCCACGTCATACCACATTTCGCACATCACCGGAACAACATTTCCAGCTTGATAACGCCCGGGCCCATACTGCCAGAGCTACACAGGACTTCCTACAGCAAAACGGTGTCAACATTATGCAGTGGCCAGCCCTTAGTCCTGATTTAAACCCAATTGAACATCTTTGGGATGAAATTCAGAGGAGACTGAATAATGTCATACCAAGGCCGAACACAGCTGATTTGTTGCGCCAGGCCTTTCTCAGAGTGTGGTTCCAGGTGCCAATGGCTTTCATCAATCGATTGGTGCACTCCATGCATGGACGCTGTGCTGCAGTTATTGCCGCTCAAGGTGGTTACACTAGATACTGAAGTCAAGAGTCTGAATGGACTGCAAACGTTCACGTAATGTCTTGAAATTGTGCTGAGTTACTTATTGATGTGTCAAGATATTGTACAAAAAAAATGTTTTTGATCCACTTATTATGTCCATTTCTGTAATAATTTGATTACAGTGCCTATCTAATTTTGACAGTTTTTTTTGCTGCTGAGTATATTTCTTCCTTAAGTGGCATTTAGAAGCTGGAATGATGAAGTGGAACACTTTTTATGGATAGACAACTTCTTTGTTGCAGTAGTAGTTGCGACGTTTCGGTGTAGATCCTAACACCGTTATCAAGCAAATGATACACAACATTTTCACAAGGAGAAATATATACATGGCGGGTATTGGTTTATACAATAGAAGAGGTTGATGTACGGTGTGTTGACATGAGACTTGTTGTGATAGGAATGATAGAAGCCAGTAGACAAAGGGTGGGTTATTCTTGATTAGGCTTGATTAGTTGATCGTAAGCCGTGGGGATGTACTAACCTTGATCTCTGTTGATCTTGAGACTACTTAAGAAGCAAGCCAACATAGATGTTGTGTACCAGAGAGGCACATCAATTCAGCATATCCTACAAGCCAACGGTAAACCACCTACAAGCAACAAAGAAGACCCTTCAGGCGTTGTCTACCACATTCAATGCGACTGTGGTGACTCATACATAGGAGAAACGTGCCGCCCCCTAAACCTACGAATAAAGGAACATCAGACATCTGTAAAGAAAAAAGACTCCAAATCAGCCATTTCCGACCATACCCAAGCCCACCCAAACCATACCATACTTTGGAACAACATCAGCATCCTAAAAGCCAACCGGTCAGATTACAAGATAAGAAAACTCTTAGAGGCAATCAACATCAAACGATTCAACCCGGCAATCAACAGAGATCAAGGTTATTACATCCCCACGGCTTACGATCAACTAATCAAGAATAACCCACCCTTTGTCTACTGGCATCAATCATTCCTATCACAACAAGTCTCAGTCAACACACCGTACATCAACCTCTTCTATTGTATAAACCAATACCCGCCATGTATATATTTCTCCTTGTGCAAATGTTGTGTATCTACAAAACTCAAACCTTCTAAAAAGAATCTAGAACTCACTAACCACAACCATCTCTCTCACGTCCCACTTACTGCAACATTCAGGCCAGCCGTTCAAACCTCAGTTATCCATTCTGCTCTCTACAACTTTAGACCCGGCGCTCAATTTCATTTATCCATACTCTGCACACGCCACGCTCGCTCTCCCCTCTCGCTAATGTAAATAACCCGTCACAAGCCCATACTGCCAAGGTCAAGGCCACTCACTAGCCAGCTCACTACCACCGTTTCGCTCTCAGCGCAGCCTTTGCCTCACTTCACCCTTTTCTTTTTCCTTCTTTATATAGCCCCTTATATAGCTCATGCAGCTTAACTGCATTCAAATATCTGCCCCCTATGCTATACATGCTCAGTACTCACCCCCCTCCCCACCCCCAGGTCCCCCTTTTATGTCACCTACCGTTTATTTCAACCCTATCTCTTACTTATTAACAATTATTCCTATTTATCCCTCCTTTCTCTTTTTTTAACTTGGCTTTTTATTTTTCTTTATCTCTATTTATGTTTATAAACGTTTTTTATTCCAAATTCAACTTAGGTTTAACGCCCCAGCATTTAAATTTTTTGGGGTAAGGTGGTTTATCCCTTATTAACATTTATTATTTATTATATTAGCTCCCACCTACCCCGTCGGCGAAATTGGCTTACGCCAGCAGCCGACGTTAAACATTGAATTTCGTCGTCGTGTTGTGTATCATTTGCTTGATAATGGTGTTAGGATCTACACTGAAACGTCGCAACTACTACTGCAACGAAGAAGTTGTCTATCCATAAAAAGTGTTCCACTTGAGTATATTTCATTTGTCATATCACTACACAGCTACACACATGAACACCAACAAGAAACAGCAGATCAAAGTGATACAATGTTTATTTCAATAACTTAAAGATTGCCTCTCCATAGTGGTAGACAGTATAGTATCACAATGGTGCATATTTTGTGTGGAGTGTGACATCACAAGGCTGGCTAGTTGGCCACAGCTCCAGGACAGACAGACAGATAGGCCTCTGGTGCAGTGTCCAACACAGGTGCTCTATACTGAAAGCTTGGTGTTGGCGTAACTTGCATACAACACTACATCAGTCTGTTAAAGCACAATAGATATATGAACATACTGAATTTTCTCTGACATGATTTCATGCTACTTAACACATGCATAACATAATATCTCTTCTTTCAACAAACATAAATATATTAAAGTAAACAGAATAAACAGTACTTTAAAAAAAATGAGAATTATGACAATTCATTGGAATATTTGCATAAACCTTACCATTAACATGATGACTTGGCTGAATGAAAACTATTGTAAAGTAATACTCAACACTTATGTCTGAAAGGATGTATAAACGCTACTGGCTTGTGAAGTGGCTTGCATCATGGTATATCTTTGAACTAATGATGATATGCCTGTTGATATATTACACAGAACTAGGGTATAATCAATTAGTGGATTCAAAGATTTGTCCACAGCTCAGGTAGGACTAACTATATGCCTCTGCAGGTTTCAGCTGCTCTGTGGCTAGCTTTGTGTCGCCACTCCAGGTGAACACAGCCCTGGTGCTGGCTTATTTAGGCGTCTAGATCAGAACATCATCATTCCATCAATTCATACGATCATCTCGGGGGAATAATTTACTGGAACTCACTGCACAGAGCAGGCATCTCTCTTCAACCCATTGATTCCAAACACTATTCCCTGATCTTTACTAAGGTTGATCCAAATAGACCGACCGTACACCAGTGATACTCTTACCTGGGTACTACATTCATCAACTAGACCCATTATCACATGACTGTATATAAAGATATAAACTTGAGTCCACGTTTCATCTTCCATTTAGCCAGATTTATCAGCTGTTTGTGTGCAGACAGCCTTTTACTGGCACATCATTTTAATGCCAATATGTATTTCCTGCAAGTTGAGGACTAGTGGTTGAAGACTCGAGTTACTTTTGGTAAAGACACAAATGGCGTCACAGTAAAGAGAAACTAAGGCCTTTCATTAAAAAGTGAACTTGATATCCCCAACTTCATGCCTGGACTCCAAATGTTATCATCTGCCTTTATCATGAATACAGACACAAATACAGTTTGAGAGCTAAGATGTATCCCAAACAAAAATATGCCACCTTACTCTATAGATCTTTTTGACAAATAGTACCAAAATATCCAAAGCTGTTTTTATGAATGAGTCAGCTAATGTGTAATAAAGGTTGTATATCTTATGAGTGAGCTGCCATCATTGTCCAAATCTACACCGACCATCCGTCACCTTTGTATTTTGTTCCTGAGATATACTGATGATTCAGTTAAAAAATATGAATATGAAATAACAAAAATTGTATTTAAGCCAAATGATCAGGACATTATATCTAAAACTATCATTTTATTAGTAACAAAATATATCATGTTGATTTGGTTGCTGCTTTTGTACTTATTTATATGCATACTTTCAAACCTCATTCTTTATTTCCAACCATTGTTGGTCATGAAGGAAGTACCATAAGCCACTTAATAAAGGTTAAAACTCGCTAAATAACAAGTCCTCAGGTTAGGTAATAGAGGTCCAGTCAACTTCCACCCGACAATGATCTATGTTGACAAGAAGAATATGTTGCCTGAACGAGAGTAATTATTGTAGATTCAAATTTCTTAACATATTCTATACTAATGTCCAAAGGTATGAAACAACACACTTACAATATCCCACCTGTCAATCAAACCAGTCTAAAAGCCAGGATCTGTTGAAAGTTATGGTGTTGCACATTATAGAAAAGGATAATTCTGGTCACTGTCATGTTGTGAGTTACAGGTTCTACCTATATTAGGCATTTAGTTAGCAAGTGCAACAGCTGGGATGCACTATAGACAAATATGACACTGACCCTATTTCAGATGTACAGTTATTTTAATTCAAGTACAATCATACTTTGAATATTTCAGCATTTGTACTGAGAGAGAAAACCCAGCCATGAATCCCCGACCTTCTTCTTGGGAATAGAGGTACCCACCTAATGACTAGAAAGAAGAGAACAATAACAATTTGTCACAATACTTTGACACAAATGCATCTTTATTTTTTCATTTAATCAGGTTTAGCTCATCACGACTCATGGGATATGTTTTTTTCTCTGATGTGCTTTATGAAAAAAATCACTTAAATGTTATGTAATTGGCAAGTGGTGTCCAATACAATGAAATCATTACTGTTTAATTAACAGTGATAATATCAACAAGCAAGTTTAATGATACAATCTCAAGAAGGTGACTTTCTCATTGACCAATCCAGTTTAAATCAGACATACAGACACAAATACAGTTTGAGAGCTAAGATGTATCCCAACCAAAAAATATACAACCCTACTCTATAGATCTTTTTGACAAATGGTACCAAAATATCCAAAGCTGTTTTTATGAATGAGTCAGCTAATGTGTAATAAAGGTTGTATATCTTATGAGTGAGCTGAAACCCACAAACACTGGTGTGATGATGAAAATATATTGTGGACCACTCTATGGATTTGAATCTGTGTCCTCTGTTCTAGGATTGGTAGCTGCATGTGACCAGGGTCTAGACACTAACACATCCCTGTTCTCACTGTAGCTCATTTAGCCACTATTTTATGTTTCTGCATAAGTATTGCCCCCCAAAAAGTGACTATAATATAACTGTTTCATTAGAACTTGAATCCTTACCTTGAATGTCAATAATAGTTTAGTAGTAGATACGTGGACAAAAATATGACGAGTGCAGGGTCCCCCAAGTCTCCCAGTATAGGGATAAGTCAATATAATCCCAAATAATGTGTACAGTAATAAACAGAAAATACACTGGATTTAATAACTTAGTGTTGTCTTTACAATATACAGATAGATATACAACTTATGCAAGCATATACTCACCTCACACAGAATGTATAGCCATTTATTCACACAATTTCAGCCAATCACTCAACATATTTGCACACAGTTTCAGCCAACCACTCAACATCTTTGCACACGGTGTCAGCTAATCACATTCTGCATCTTCACACACAGTTTCAGCCAATCACACTTCATCTTCACACATAGTTTCAGCCAATCACACTAAACATCATTACACACAGTTTCAGCCAAACAGACTCTACATCTTCGCATACTGTTTCAGCCAAACAGACTCTACATCTTCGCATACTGTTTCAGCCAAACAGACTCTACATCCTCGCATACTGTTTCAGCCAAACAGAATCTACATCTTCGCATACTGTTTCAGCCAAACAGACTCTACATCTTCGCATACTGTTTCAGCCAAACAGACTCTACATCTTCGTATACTGTTTCAAACATACTGTTTCAGCCAATCAAACTTCACATCTTTGCACAGAGGTTCAGCCCATCCTACGTGTTCACACATATGGTCAGCCCAGCCTACGTGTTCACACATATGGTCAGCCCATCAGCTCTACATGTGTTCAAACACTAGTATCCCATGTCGTAACCTCGCTGCCTATATGTGCTGGTTGACACAATGTCAAAAATGGATATGTTAAGCAGTATAAACATCTACATACAGGTATTTACTCACTCATGAGTAAGCTATAAAAAAGAAACAATAAAATATAACAAGTAAGCACAAGGCTAAAATAAATGCACCATTAGAAATAACACATTTGTGTCACGCGCAACTTCTTTCAGAGATACCTTCCATAAACAGTGTACAAATCAAATGTCTGCCCAACACATAACTTTTGTTACAACCTGTGGATTTCATATTATGTCATTTTAGAACCTGAATAATTGGCAAACATGGTTCTGCAGGAAGCAGATGACTTCTTATATTATATATCAAACTTGATCTTGTCCTAATCACTTGTGAAACTTGTAGCAGAGATTCCAGTGGAGTCATGGTAGCTCAGATCAATACTCACTACAGTGAGCCAGTCCACCTCCTGGCAACAACGAAGACAGCTGTATGCAGGGTGTAAGACTATTGAACATGATTGGTGTGTCCTTTCCACCTTGCCATATCACTTAGATAGGTTTATAAGTACAGCTGTGTAATTGTGTGGAGTTTGTTTCCAGCTCATTATAAACACAACATTTAACAGTATAGTCAACAGACAAATATACATTGTTTCAAACAAGGTTGGTCGCCCATGACAGTACATTAATCATTTAACAAGAAATAAGTTTTGAAATGTATGTTATAACAAACAGTTCACTTACTGTGACATTCCTACCAGGTTGTTCCATCTCAGCAGATGAATATTTGTCCTGTGGCTTCACTATGTAATAGTCTGTCACAAGGAGACATCACACAGTCTGATATATATCTCACAGTGTGACAAAGAGATATCACACAGTCTGATATATATCTCAGTGTCACAAGGAGATATCAGTCTGATATACATCTAATAGTGTGACAAGGAGATATCACAGTCTGATATACATCTCACACAGTGTCACAAGGAGATATCACACAGTCTGATATATATCTCGCAGTGTTACAAGGAGATATCACACAGTCTGATATATATCTCACAGTTAAACAAGGAGATATCAGTCTGATATATATCTCATACTTTGTCACAAGGAGTATCACACGGTCTGATTTATATCTCATTGTGTGACAAGGAGATATGACAGTCTGATATACATCTCACTCAGTGTCACATGAAGATATCAAACAGTATGATATATATCTCGCAGTGTTACAAGGAGATATCACACAGTCTGATATATATCTCAGTTAAACAAGGAGATATCAGTCTGATATATATCTCATTGTGTCACAAGGAGATATCACAGTCTGATATACATCTCACACAGTGTCACAAGGAGATATCACACAGTCTGATATATATCTCGCAGTGTTACAAGGAGATATCACACAGTCTGATATATATCTCAGTTAAACAAGGAGATATCAGTCTGATATATATCTCATTGTGTCACAAGGAGATATCACAGTCTGATATACATCTCACACAGTGTCACAAGGAGATATCACACAGTCTGATATATATCTCACAGTTAAACAAGGAGATATCAGTCTGATATATATCTCATACTTTGTCACAAGGAGATATCACACAGTCTGATATATATCTCATTGTGTTACAAGGAGCATTCACAGTCTGATATATATCTCACAGTGTCACAAGGAGATATCACAGTCTGATATACATCTCACAGTGTCACAAGGAGATATCACACAGTCTGATATATATCTCGCAGTGCCACAAGGAGATATCAGTCTGATATATATCTCATACTTTGTCACAAGGAGATATCACAGTCTGATATATATCTCATTGTGTCACATGAAGATATCAAACAGTATGATATATATATATATCTCACACAGTGGTACATGGAGACATGTAACTGTGTGACACATATCTCACACAATGACATAAAGATATCAAACAGTATGATACTATATCACAATGTTGCACATAAGAGACCTCAGCCTGCTATAGTTGTCACACAGTCTGATTGGTGTACATCACTGACATCTGATACTCCACTGTTAACAGGGATATTCCCATGATATACAGAACGTATTCTCATTATATGTCAGGTGCATATGAAAACATATCCCACACAAGTGATTACCTGTGCAAGGTGGAGTGATAACATTAAAGTAATCTAAATATGATATTCATACAATGTTCATACAACGTTTGATACTCCAAAAGCATAAAAAGGTTGATATGAAAATTTCATTAGTTTCAAATAATGTGATATTGTGTGTTATGGATTTCAGAAATGGATACATGTACCATAACTTGATGTAAGTGTGAAAGGTCTCACTGCAATACTTGACTGTGTTCGGCACAGCCGGCAATAGCTGTCAGTTTCCTGTCAGTAATACAGGCTCATATAGGTGTTTACTGTGTTCAGATCGTTTGTCAGTGTTCATATCATACATGTTCAAACATCTCCTGGCTGGAGGTATAAATATATGTATTTCAAAATATAAGCAAAGGATATTATGTTTGTTCAACATCAAGTCTTACACATAGTCAAAGTCAATGGAGGCAATAATCTGTTCACAAGGCCAAGTCCTACACATAATCAGTGTAGGTCACAATCTGTTCACAAAGCCAAATTCTTATGAAAAATATGCCAATGTAGGCCACAGTCTGTTCTCTACACAAAGTCCTTTTGAAAAATATGTCGGTGTAGGCCACAATCAGTTGACAAGGCCAAGTCCTACCCGTAATTTTGCCAAATGTAAACATCAGACCTACAAGGATGTATATCACATAGGCGTCACCAATCCTGTCTAGTGTTTAGACTGGACAACAAGAGTCAGTCCAAACACCCCTGGTAGTGTTTGTTCAGTGTGGCACCCATGTGTGGAAGTGCCTTTCCCAGCTCGGCTGACAGCTACAGGAACATATAGTTGGGGTTGTGCTGATGGCTTCATGAAGTGCAGCACCTCAGTAACTGTCAGGAGGATCTGTCTTCATCTTCATCTTTGTCTTTCTCTGTGTTTTCTGGAGACTTCTCGGGAGATCTGTTTCTTGCTTTGCTCCTCTGCTAGCTGCTGCCAGTGCTCCCTGTTCTCTTGGCAGCCACACAGCAAAGGGTCCATATTTCCTGATACATGACTGAATGCCTGTAAGAACATCAGAACATTAGTCAGTCTCACTCCCTTACATGCTTTTAGTAATAGTTGTAGTATCTGATACTTCAAAAATAATGGTAATGTCTTTACACCCTGCAGTATACATCACACATTAAGGATCTCCGCCTTGTACTTCCTGCAATGAACTGAATATTGGAATGATCTCCACATTATAATTCCTGCAGTGGACATTACATTGGAATGATCTCCACCTTATACTTCCTGCAGTGCACATAACATTGGAATGATCTCCCCTTATACTTCCTGCAGTGCACATTACATTGAAATGATCTCCACCTTATACTTCCTGCAGTGCACATTACATTGGAATGATCCCCACCTTATACTTCCTGCAGTGTACATTACATTGGAATGATCTCCACCTTATACTTCCTGCAGTGCACATTACATTGGAATGATCTCCACCTTATACTTCCTGCAGTGCACATTACATTGGAATGATCTCCACCTTATACTTCCTGCAGTGCACATTACATTGTAATATTCCCCTCTTATACTTCCTGAAGTGTACATTACATTGGAATGATCTCCACCTTATACTTCCTGAAGTGTACATTACATTGGAATGATCCCCACCTTGTACTTCCTGAAGTGCACATTACATTGGAATGATCTCCACCTTATACTTCCTGCAGTCCACATTACATTGTAATATTCCCACCCCCTGCAGTGTACATTATACTTCCTGCCTGCAGTGTACATTACATTGGAATGATCTCCACCTTATACTTCCTGCAGTGTACATTACATTGGAATGATCCCCCTCTTCCTGCAGTGTATACTTCCTGCAGTGCACATTACATTGAAATAATCCCCACCTTATACTTTCTGCAGTCCACATTACATTGTAATATTCCCCTCTTATACTTCCTGAAGTGTACATTACATTGGAATGATCTCCACCTTATACTTCCTGCAGTGTACATGACATTGGAATGATCCCCCTCTTATACTTCCTGCAGTGCACATTACATTGAAATAATCCCCCTTATACTTCCCACCTTATAGTGCACATTACATTGAAATGATCTCCACCTTATACTTCCTGCAGTGCATATACCATTGGAATGATCCCCACCTTATACTTCCTGCAGTGCACATTACATTGGAATGATCCCCCTCTTATACTTCCTACAGTGTACATTACATTGGAATGATCTCCACCTTATACTTCCTGCAGTGCACATTACACTGAAATGATCTCAAACCTTATACTTCCTGCAGAGCACATTACATTGGAATGATCCCCCTCTTATACTTCCTGCAGTGTACATTACATTGGAATGATCTCCACCTTATACTTCCTGCAGTGTACATTACATTGGAATGATCCCCTCTTATACTTCCTGCAGTGCACATTACATTGGAATGATCCCCCTCTTATACTTCCTGCAGTGTACATTACATTGGAATGATCCCCACCTTATACTTCCTGCAGTGTACATAACATTGGAATGATCTCCACCTTATACATCCTGCAGTGTACATTACATTAGAATGATCTCCACCTTATACTTCCTGCAGTGTACATTACATTGGAATGATCTCCACCTTATACTTCCTGCAGTGTACATAACATTGGAATGATCTCCACCTTATACATCCTGCAGTGTACATTACATTGGAATGATCTCCACCTTATACTTCCTGCAGTGCACATTACATTGGAATGATCTCCACCTTATACTTCCTGCAGTGCACATTACATTGGAATGATCTCCACCTTATACTTCCTGCAGTGCACATTACATTGTAATATTCCCCCCTTATACTTCCTGAAGTGTACATTACATTTGAATGATCTCCACCTTATACATCCTGAAGTGTGCATTACACTGGAATGATCCCCACCTTGTACTTCCTGAAGTGCACATTACATTGGAATGATCTCCACCTTATACTTCCTGCAGTCCACATTACATTGTAATATTCCCCCCTTATACTTCCTGCAGTGTACATTACATTGGAATGATCTCCACCTTATACTTCCTGCAGTGTACATTACATTGGAATGATCCCCCTCTTATACTTCCTGCAGTGCACATTACATTGAAATAATCCCCCTTATACTTCCTGCAGTGTACATTACATTGGAATGAACCCCCTCTTATACTTCCTGCAGTGCACATTACATTGAAATGATCTCCACCTTATACTTCCTGCAGTGCATATAACATTGGAATGATCCCCACCTTATACTTCCTGCAGTGCACATTACATTGGAATGATCTCAAACCTTATACTTCCTGCAGAGCACATTACATTGGAATGATCCCCCTCTTATACTTCCTGCAGTGTACATTACATTGGAATGATCTCCACATTATACTTCCTGCAGGGTACATTACATTGGACTGATCCCCACCTTATACTTCCTGCAGTGAACATTACATTGGAATGATCCCCCTCTTATGCTTCCTGCAGTGTACATTACATTGGAATGATCCCCCTTTATACTTCCTGCAGTGTACATTACATTGGAATGATCCCCACCTTATACTTCCTGCAGTGTACATTACATTGGAATGATCCCCACCTTATACTTCCTGCAGTGTACATTACATTGGAATGATCCCCCTTATACTTATACTTCCTGCAGTGCACATTACATTGGAATGATGACATTGAATGATCCCACATTGGAATGATCCCCCTTATACTTCCTGCAGTGCACATTACATTGGAATGATCTCCACCTTATACTTCCTGCAGTGTACATTACATTGGAATGATCTCCACCTTATACTTCCTGCAGTGCACATTACATTGGAATGATCTCCACCTTCCTGCATACTTCCTGCAGTGCACATTACATTGGAATGATCCCCACCTTATACTTCCTGCAGTGTACATTACATTGGAATGATCCCACCACCTTATACTTCCTGCAGTGTACATTACATTGGAATGATCCCCACCTTATACTTCCTGCAGTGCACATTACATTGGAATGATCCCACCTTATACTTCCTGCAGTGTACATTACATTGGAATGATCCCCACTCTTATACTTCCTGCAGTGTACATTACATTGGAATGATCCCCACCTTATACTTCCTGCAGTGCATGACATTGGAATGATCCCACCTTTATACTTCCTGCAGTGTACATTACATTGGAATGATCCCCCTTTATACTTATACTTCCTGCAGTGTACATTACATTGGAATGATCCCCACCTTATACTTCCTGCAGTGCACATTACATTGGAATGATCCCACCTTATACTTCCTGCAGTGTACATTACATTGGAATGATCCCCACCTTATACTTCCTGCAGTGCACATTACATTGGAATGATCCCCACCTTATACTTCCTGCAGTGTTGGACATTACATTGGAATGATCCCCACCTCTTCCTGCAGTGCACCTTGATCTCCATACTTGGTATCTTCCTGCAGTGTACATTACATTGGAATGATCCCCACCTTCCTGCAGTACTTCCTGCAGTGTACATTACATTGGAATGATCCCCACCTTATACTTCCTGCAGTGTACATTACATTGGAATGATCCCCACCTTATACTTCCTGCAGTGTACATTACATTGGAATGATCCCACCTTATACTTCCTGCAGTGCACATTACATTGGAATGATCCCCACCTTATACTTCCTGCAGTGTACATTACATTGGAATGATCCCCACCTTATACTTCCTGCAGTGTACATTACATTGGAATGATCCCCACCTTATACTTCCTGCAGTGTACATTACATTGGAATGATCCCCACCTTATACTTCCTGCAGTGCACATTGCATTGGAATGATCCCCACCTTATACCTCCTGCAGTGCACATTACATTGGAATGATCTCCACCTTATACTTCCTGCAGTGTACATCACATTGGAATGATCCCCACCTTATACTTCCTGCAATGTACATTACATCGGAATGATCCCCACCTTATACTTACTGCAGTGCACATTACATTGGAATGATCCCCACCTTATACTTCCTGCAGTGCACATTACATTGGTATGATCCCCACCTTATACTTTCTGCAGTGTACATTACATTGGAATGATCCCCCTCTTATACTTCCTGCAGTGCACATAACATTGGAATGATCCCCACCTTATACTCACCTGCAGTGCACATAACATTGGAATGATCCCCCTCTTAAACTTCCTGCAGTGCACATAACATTGGAATCATCCCCACCTTGTACTTCCTGAAGTGCACATTACATTGGAATGATCTCCACCTTATACTTCCTGCAGTGTACATAACATTGTAATATTCCCCCCTTATACTTCCTGAAGTGTACATTACATTGGAATGATCTCCACCTTATACTTCCTGCAGTGCACATGACATTAGAATGATCCCCCTCTTATACTTCCTGCAGTGCACGTTACATTGTAATTATCCCCACCTTATCCTTCCTGCAGTGTACATTACATTGGAATGAACCCCCTCTTATACTTCCTGCAGTGCACATTACATTGGAATGATCTCCACCTTATACTTCCTGCAGTGCACATTACATTGAAATGATCTCCACCTTATACTTCCGGCAGTGTACATGACATTGGAATGACCCCCCTCTTATACTTCCTGAAGTGCACATTACATTGGAATGATCCCACTCTTATACTTCCTGAAGTGCACATTACATTGTAATAATCCCCTCTTATACTTCCTGAAGTGTACATTAGATTGGAATGATCCCACTCTTATACTTCCTGCAGTGTACATTACATTGGAATGATCTCCACCTTATACTTCCTGCAGTGTAAATTACATTGGAATGATCCCCACCTTATACTTCCTGCAGTGCACATTACATTGGAATGACCTCCACCTTATACTTCCTGCAGTGCACATTACATTGGAATGATCCCCCTCTTATACTTCCTACAGTGTACATTACATTGGAATCATCTCCACCTTATACTTCCTGAAGTGCACATTACATTGAAATGATCTCCACCTTATACTTCCTGCAGAGCACATTACATTGGAA